AGCGGTACGTAGACGATACTTTCACAATTTTACCATCAGACAAAGTAACTGTATTTTTAGAACATCTTAATTCCATAAACTCTAAAATTCAATTTACTATGGAGTTAGAGGCAAATAATTCTTTAGCTTTCCTAGATGTGTTAGTCATTCGAAATCCTAATAACACCGTAGGTCACACTGTGTATAAAAAAAAGACCCATACAAACCGATACTTAAACGGTGAATCCCACCATCACCCTTCACAGTTAGCTACCGTGGGCAAATCTTTGTTGCAGAGAGCACAAGGGATCTGTGTTAGCAAACACCTGGCCGCCGAGCTCCAGCACGTCAAGCAGGTTCTGCACGACAACAAGCTTCGGGTTCCGCGCCTACGTCACAGTGACCGAGTAAAGCCGGCCACAGTCGAGCGTGTGCCTGCTGTACTACCATATGTCAGAGGTGTCACAGACAAGATTGGCTACATCTTGAAGCGAGCTTCTATTAGAACATTCTTCAAGCCGCCGAAGAAGATTAGTCAGTTCTTACCATCCGTCAAGTGCAATATTCCTCTACAAGATGCAGGAGTATACAAGCTTGATTGTGAGTGTGGTCTCTCATATATAGAGCAAACAAAACGATCAATTAAAACCCGCGTAAAAGAACACATAGCTGACGTGAAGCACCAACGTTCCGGGAAGTCTGCAGTTTGTGATCATATCCTAGACGGCCCCCGTCATTACATTAGATTTGATAAACCACAAGTCCTCGCGAAAGAACATCGATTCCTGCCAAGGATGATACGTGAGGCTATTGAAATTAAAAAACATCCTAATTTCAATAGAGAGGGAGGCTGGGTACTACCACCTGCTTGGGATCCTGTAATTCATAAAATTAAAACTAAACCCAAGCATACCACTGTAAGACTTCAAGACACAGTTCATTCTGCGTAGATCGGACCAAAATTATTAATTAAAAAAGTTGAAGGTACTCCGGTTTAACACTGACATCGGGACGTCAATCACCTCAGTCCCCCGTGACCCCGGTTGCTGGAAAGCAACCGAAACGTCGGGAATATAAAATAAGTTAATTAAACGCGATAAAATCCGTAAAAATAGTTTTATTCGAAGCCAAAAAATAAACTAAAAAAAATATAAAAAACTTCCGAAACTAAAAGAATTAAATACGAGGGTGGATTGAAAAGTACTCGGCCTAACCAAGAAAATAAACACATACTAAATCAGTTATATTTTTATTTTTCTACATAATCACCATCAAGTTCAATACACTTTTGCCACCTCCCCTTCCAAGCATTTAGACCGTTGAAAAAAAATGATTCTTCCTTAGAGTCAAAATATGCGTCTACAGCTGCTTTGACCTCGTCGTTTGTCGAAAATCTTTGACCTCCCAAGTGCTTTTTTAGGTTAGGGAACAGAAAGAAGTCTGATGGTGCCAGAACAGGTGAATACGGCGGATGCGGTAACAGTTCAAAGCCACAGTTGGGAATTTCAGCCATTGACTGTACTGACGTGTGAACACGGGCGTTATCTTGATGAAACAGGAGTTTTCTTCTGAGCATTCCTCGACGTTTTTCTTTTATTTCCTCTCGTAAACGACGTAGTAAGGTGCAGTAGTAATCAGAGTTTATATTCTGACCCCTTTCAAGATAATCAATCATAATCACACCTTTCGAGTCCCAGAATACTGAAGCCATCACCTTATTTGCCGACAAAATCGACTTAGCCTTTTTAGGGGGTGGTGAACCAGGTCTTCTCCACTGTTTTGATTGTTGTTTTGTTTCCGGTGTACAGTAATGAACCCATGTTTCGTCCATAGTAACAAAACGATTCAAAAAATCATCTGCATCGGCTTCAAATAACTCCAAACAGTCGCGTGAAATAGTCAATCGCGTCCTTTTTTGTTCAACTGAAAGCAGTCGCGGAACCCACCTCGCAGACACCTTGTGGAAACCCAACTCGTTGACAATGATGTTTTGAGTTCGTTCATAAGAGATGCCTATAATCTCGGCTATCTCTCTAATTTTTAATCTGCGGTCTCCCATTATTAAATCAAGTACTTTTTTAATATTTTCGTCAGTAGTTGACGTCGAAGGCCTTCCAGAGCGGGGTTCATCTTTCACAATCTCTCTACCACGCTTAAATTCTGCTATCCATTTTTTGACGGATGAATATGACAGAGCACAATCGCCTAATGTACTGACCATGTCATCATGGATGGCTTTTGATGATAGCCCCTTCTTATGGAGGTACTTAATGACGGCACGCTGCTCGATTTGCTCCATTTGCGGAAATTATGTCCGATTACTTTGTTAATAAATTTATAAAATCACAACTAATTATCGCACACGTTTCGAACTTCACACAATGAACTAGTCTGAACTGAACTAAATAATGTGGATAGATTTGATTTTTAGAATTGAATGGATCTGTGTTAGGCCGAGTACTTTTCAATCCACCCTCGTAGTTTCTGTTCAATAGCTTATAAAATATTTTAATTGGATCTTCTAAACGGAAATAGTATTAACCTAGTAGTATAATCCTAGTATTAACAAAAGAAAGCGCGTGGCGGGGTAGCGGTGGAGGAGTGGAGGAGGCGGCGCTTACTCATTTGAACTTGACCTAATTACCTATGTCGGTTGTCGGGTGTCGGCAGTCGCCTTTGATGCGCCCGCGACGCTTGTCCTTCCGTTGTTGAGATTAATTTTGCGAATGTCGAAAATTAGCGTCGCATAGATCATACTTTAGAATTACCCATTATAAATTTTAATATTTATGATTTTTTTAATGTTATTTGCTTATTTAATTATGTATAACGATTTCAACACGATGTGTGAAACTGATATCAAATGTAAAACAAAAAAGGCATTTTCTTTGACGATTTATTCTGAAATTGTTTAGGTACGACAAAATATAGACATAAAAGTAGTCAGACATAACAGCAAACACTTTTTATTTGTAAATGTACTATAAATATTCTGTAAAGAGTTATTTCGCAAAAATTATTTGTAATAATGCAACTAATATATTCCCAAAAGGTCTTTAGTAAATTAAAAAGGACCCTGTATATTTCTTTTCTTTATGAAAATCGAGTGTTTCTATGTCCTTGTTTCTCTCTTCATAGTATTTATTTGATTTTAACATATAGATATTGAATTTTAACATATTATCGATTCGTTAGATTTGCCTTAGTTGTAGAAGTGACATAATATTTAATTTTTTTTCTTTTCAGTAAAATTGTTTGGTTTTATTATTTATTACTGTTTTAACCATTGAAATTGTTTACGCAACTATTGTTTAATAAATTGTTTGATGACTTTTTTAACACACAAAAATATTTTTCAAATAATAAAATTAATCCCTCCCTCTTCTTACAGTTTCCTTCCACTGCTGGCCATGGGCCATGGAAATAAAGAGGGAGCACAGAATTTTACTGCCACAAGTATCACCCACCTTTGCAACCCTGCCCTAAACATCGCACGGAGTAACCGCGGTCCACCGAGATTAAATTTAGAAAAAATGTTCGCCTTTTTTCCTCCCACAATTTTTCTTGTCACTATTACAACAAACACCGTTACATCCTATAAAAATCCCCACTGAACATAGGCCTCCACTATATTCTTCCTAGAGGGTATACTTGTCATGGTTGCCAGTGGTACAGTCGCCTCTTACGAAACATTCATTTCATTTATCGACAAATCGTCTTGCAATCGTCGTTACTCTAGCACTCACTTGACCTTCATACAAATAATTTGATATTTTAATTGTTGATATTTTTTTATTTTTGGATAACAACATAGTAATGACTCTAAGTTATATTTACCATTTTTTTTAAAAAAATGTCTTTGGCTTGACCATAGTTCTGACTAAGGCCGGCCTCCTACATACAGAATTCCGTTTCGATATTCCGATTCGGAATCCCGAACGCAGTAAGCCCATATAAAATCTATGATCCGCCAGACACGTACGGTATTTTTCCGTACGGAATTTCCTCTGATTCGAGATTCCGTATGACCGCCTGTCCTTTGGGATCCCGAACGGAAAAAAGCCGCTCCGAACGCAAGTCTTCCATAGATTTTGTACGAATTGCAACACACAGACATGAATTCCGTACGGAACGCGCTCAGTGTTCGTCGTACGACCGAAGTGAGTAGGTGTGTTTATGTATGTTTTTACATTTAATCTTGTAGCTATTGGTATAGCTTTCCGTAACCTTTCATCTTATTTTATTTAATAATTCATCGAAAGAATTTACAGACATAAACATTTAAAAAGTATCTCTGGATAGATAGATATTTTTACATAATATTGACTATATTGCAACCTTTATAGTAAGAATGATACAGCAACAATGGAATCACAATTAGAAACTCGTCGTCATTATTCGCTGAGAGAATGTCTAGACTCAATGGCTAACGTCTCTCAACTGACCCTTGTTATTCCGAACGGAAAAAACGTATGTGTGTGATATATTCACGGAATTCCGATTCGGGATTCCGAAACGGAATCACGAAACGGAATTCCGTATGTATCTGGCCGACCTAAGTATGTCCAATAAAATGTCAAGGTCTGAGAGGTTAATGTCATTGTCTTTGTCGCTCTTGTCACTGCTGTTGTCACTTGTCACCTTGTCAGTATATATTAGGGATGGGCAAAGGGAAAAATATATCGATATATATCGAATCTATATTTTTAAACAGTATCGATATATATCGCGTGATCAATATCGATATATCGTCATCATTTGAATAATGTAAAGATAAGGTAAAAACGATACAACATTTTAAAATATATCGAAATTGATACGAATTCGATACTCTAAAATAAATATCGATATGTCGATATATCGCGACTTAAATATCGACGATATATAACTATAGATTTTTTTAAAAAATATCGATATATCGAATATATAGTATAGTAACATTTTAAAATATATCGAAATATCGATATTTTTTACCCATGCCTAGTATATATTACTCTACTCTATGCTATGACTCTATGGTTGTCAGGCTCAGGCTGTCACTCAATATTTTTGTAAATATTATTAGCCCCGAACAGAACTTTGTTTTAAATTCGTAAACATAATTAACTGAATAAAATGAATCGTCCTTTTAGACCAAGGTATGTTTTCCATTTGTTTGTATAACCTAAACCATAAAATTGCTGTGATATCATTTTCAAATAATCATGTTTAGAAGTTTAATTTGATTACTAATACTTAAAACCATTAATTTTTAATTAAAGCCTTTCGATTCATCATTGATGATTTTCAGTGACAAATTGATTTACATGGCCATTTGTTTTCTGTACAGTGTTATAAAAAAATTTTTTAGAAAAAATAAATCAGAATACATGGCAGCATCTTGTAAGTTTTGTAATAGGTGCAATCGTACCTGGTTGAAAACCTTTAAAAAGGAAAACTTGGGTTATAATGTTATTCAACTTTTTCATGAAGGATCCGCAATGACCGTATTGTCATGTCTTGCACTAGTTGAGTGTACATTAGAAGAAAGTTTGTTTCTTTTTTTGATAATCGGTATAACCTCCTTTTTATCATTGACTGCGATGAGTTTTACATGGAACTTAGAAGGTTTTTAGGGTTCCGTACCTCAAGAGGAGAAAACGGAACCCTTATAGGATCACTTTGTTGTCCTTCTGTCTGTCTGTCTGTAAAGACCCTTTTTCTCAGGAACGCGTGGAGGTATCAAGCCGAAATTCATATCAAATACTCAAGTCTACTGTCCCTTAGAGCTGTGAAAAAAACAAACTTCTAAGCCAACGCAATCGAAGGATACAGCCATTTATGCTGCAAATTTTCGATATTCGCAAGGGAAATAAAACCTACAGGGTACTTCCCGTGAACTCAGAATCTTAAAATTTGGTATGAAGCAACGTATTATAGCACAGATAAAGGAAAAATTGCGAAAAGCATAAATTTTTAGTTGCATCATATAATAAAAATATTTTTAATAACTGTAAACTTTTATATACCTACGGATTTGTTCAGAACCCTCGGTGCGCGAGTCCGACTCGCACTTGACCGGTTTTTTATAGGTCTAGTAGCTTATACTTCTTTTTCATACTTACAGAATGAGAGGTGGCAAAAGGGGTAAAAAAAGAAGAAAAAGTTTTATGACAAACTCTAGCTATGAGCCTACAGATATTCCATTCTGGGCAGATATAGGTGCAATAGGTACACCAAGAATGCAGACACCAATTAAAAATAAGCCTACTCCTGTTAGTGCTAGTTCTGCTTCAACTTCTACTAAAAACACTGAAAAACAGGAACCCTTAGTAGAACTCACTGATGATAACTCCCCATCCATTCTTTTAACAGAAGAAAATTCAAATCAACAAGGAACAATGTAAGCTTATTACTTATTTCTTTACAATGTTTTTGTATATTTAAATAAGGACTGCATGACCTAGTGGTCAAATGACATAGGTACCCGCTGTGGTTACCTAGCTATTGGTTGGCTACTATAATTTCTTATATGTATGTGCACTACACTTTCAATAAAACTAGTTTTATGGATTTTAGCATGCCTAATTTCACTTATATTTGGCGGCTGGGATTAATCCGAATAATTCCTCAGAGCACTCCCCATGGTAGATGCAAAAGAAAATGCAAAGGGATGCCACATCTCTTCGCAGTGCAAATGAATCGAGCCGATCGGAAAGGGCTCAGTCGTCGACGATTTGAGCCGCTCTGCGTTGGATGCGGTCAAGTGGAAGGAGCTGGCACTGGGGAGCCCCTGCCCAGAGATGGGAACAGTATTCCATGTGAGGCCGAACCTGCGTCTTGTAAAGTTGCAGGCGGTGTGCCGGCATGAAATACTGTCCCGCTCTGCTGAGCACGCCAAGCTTTTTAGACGCCAATTTGGCCTTCTCTTCCAAGGGACCACGAAACTGCACGTCACTCGATATGTCGACTCCGAGGATACCGGTACTGGCTGAGCCAAGAAGGGGAGTGCCTTGAAACTGAGGAGATACGACAAAGGGGTTCTTTTTAACGGTAAACGCGCAAACTTGTGTCTTCTGAGGATTAAACTGGACTAGATTTAGTCGCCCCCAATCCGAGACTTTGTTCAGCAAAGACTTTGAAGACCTTTGTTTAGCAGTGAACTTGTGAGGGCCGCATTGATGATAATGATAATGATAATGCAAAATTTGTACTTTTGTAATCAAAACTTTGCAATCAACAATTTCATTGATGCTGGCAGGATAGAACCTGAATTGCTTGCATACTATGATATTTGCAACAAGTGCTTAGCCCCCTAAGTTAGCATGGCTCACATAATGATTTCTTATTTTATGTATGACACAGGATTCCCCCTGTCACTACATCAAATTTGGTAGACCACAAATCCTAGCTAAAGACCCGATTCCTTCCTAGGATGATTTACGAGGCTAATAAAAAATATTCTAATTTCAATAGAGAAGATGCTTGGGTGCTGCCATAATTTAATGAAATTAAATACCAACCCATGCAACTGCAAGACTTTAAGATACTAAAGTTCATACGACATAGATCTTGTTATTGGACTAAAATTCATAATTAATACTCTGAAGGTAGCCGTCGATAACTATTACATTTGGACCGTGAACACCTCAGTCCCCCCCCCTCCCCCTCCCCAGTGACAATGGGTGCTGTAAAGCATGGGTGAAACGTCGAGAATACAAAATAAGTTAATATAAAGCTCTTTAGTCCTCTCGGGAAAACTTGAGAAACTTCTCTCCTCATTGATTATTGGTATTTGGAGCTTGATGGCCAGTGCATTATCACTTTGCTTACTGATCCCTTAAGCTATATCGTTTACTCAAGTTCTGTGTTATGAATTCCATCATGCAGAAAATCTCTGAGCATAGAATTTGAATTTTATGATGTATTAATTTATTAATGACGGTGCAACTACCCAATTATAATTAATTAAGTGGTTTTTGGGTTTGTTAGTGCTGTCGTTGTTCCCATGCCTAGATCTCAGCAATCCAACCTTTGCATTCTCTCGGTGTTTAATTAGGCATGGGTATGTTATGACTCGTTTAGTGTGTTTGTGTGTGTGCTTTCAATTATCATTCAATCTCTTGAAATTAAGATGGGACCTCTGTGAAATTATTCTTATTTTCTCATACAGGCAAGAAAGCAGGAAAGCTATGCTTAACATACAAGTGAAAACACAAGAAAAAATCAAGCTGAATCAAAAGCCAAAAGAAGCCACTGAAAAAAGTATTGAAGAAGGAATAAAGAAGGAAGACCAAGAAAAATCAGGTAGGTTACAGAAATTTGTCTATTTATTTTATTTCGATACTAACTGAATCGGCACAGGCTGCTCTGCTCAATGGTAATAGATGCCACAGTGTATATATGAAATTTATTCTTAACTCGACCAAAGCCCCTATTGGAACCTATTGGTTCCCAAGATCGTGGTTTTTTTGCACTTCACCAATATATTATATTCTGAATATAAATAAATCTGATATAATAGGTACTTTACTTTAACTTTACCGTTCTGCAGTACTGGCCATTTCAAATCAAAATAATTTTTGTTTGGCTAAGAATTGTAATTTCAAAATAATTATAATTTAAAAACATGGAATTCTTTATTCAAAATTAGTCATTTGTTTATTGTTATGTTTTCATCACATTTGAATCTCTTTTGTCATCATGAATACGTCAAAAATCCGAGTAATTATGGAATATTAGTACAGTCATGGCACAAGGGGCACGCAACATCAACGACTTTTACGGAGCGAATACTACAATCGAATGCACCACCTGTTATTGGTTTACCCACTTCCGTTCTGGAAATTTCATCCTGATAAATGAACGCCGTGGTTGTATCTAAACTTTGGTCGACAATGACAAATTAAAGGCATTTGTGGAAACTGATGATACTCAATCTACGGCTGAATTAGCAGCAGCTTTCGACGTTAGCATCAAAATAATATTGCTCTATTTACGTTAAATTGGCAAGGTAAGAAAGCTTGACAAATGGGTGTCCCACGAACATAATAATCGACAGCGCGAAGTACGCGACAAGATGTGCCTTGCACTGCTCAACAGACACACAAACGAAGGAATTTTGAATCGCGTACCGCATACCTACGACATGGATTCTGTTTGACAATCGCAAGTTCTCAGCAAATTGGTTGGATCCTGGTTCAGCACCTAAACTATGCCCTAAACGAAAAGTTACCCCTAGAAAAGTGATAGTCACTGTTTGGTGGTCACAGCTTCTTACCAAACGGGATGAGCGTTACTGCAAATGTGTACTGTGAAGAACTGAACACAATGATGGAGAAGCTCGCACGTCTCGAATTAGCTTTGATTAATCGCTTGTCCCCGCTGCTCCTGCAAGACAATGCGAGATCTCATAATGCACAACAGACGGTCGCTGGCATTGGAAGCTCTCTGTCATCGGCCGTACTCACCAGACCTTACGCCTACAGACTTCTACTTTTTCAAGAATTTGGATAACTTTTTGGTGGGAAAAAAAATTAAATACTCGAGGTCCAGTACAAAATGCTTTTTTATTTTATTTTTTTAATATTTGGCCTCCCGTCAAGATAATTTCTTCAAAAAAGGCATCAATAAACTGCCACTGTGTTGACAAAGGTACATCGATTGCATGGGTTAACTTATTTATTTTTACATATAAGGTAGAATGAGGCAAGTGTGACTAATGCAAATTATGCGGCATAAATTGTTTTTTTGGTTAAATGCCATTTCTTGAACAACGCGGGAACTTTTATGCTATTGACTATACCGACAGTTAAGTACCTACATAGCTTCAACTATATTATCGACAGACTTCATTTTATCAAAACTACTCAACTGGCGAAAGTCCGCGCAATTTTAAGAGGCGAAGTTTTTAAGTGTTTCGATACGTCATTAAGTTATTTTAAACAAGCTACAAAGTGAGTGATAAAGAATAATATTGGTACTTATAGTGTAATATGTGTCTGTGATCTGAAATCCACTATTCCTTGAAATACGGATACAGTTACACTTACCTCATCATTATCTAACATCAGGGTAAGTGTGACAGTATCACGCTTACCCCGATCATCTTGTATGAGAATATCGTAACTAGTGATGGGACAGCCTATTGTTTTAACTGACTTTCAAAAAAGGAGGATGGTGTTTACCTGTGTGTTCGTATGTATTTATATTTAAGTATTTACTTTTATATTTAATAAACGAACGAGTGAAGGGAGTGAGATCTCAGAGTCGTGTTAAACGAATCGATGTTTGTATGTTAGTAGGTACTTGTGATTGTATGTACATATGTCTGCATAATTTTGTATGCACGGTGATAACTTTTGAAAGACATCTAATTTCAATTAAAACTGGTAGTTTTTGAGATATGGAGGGGTCTGTCAAAAGGGGTGAAAAATATCAGTTCATGGGGTAAGCCTTTAGTTTAACTCAGCGAGAAGTCAGAGCTTTAGTTGGTCAATATGTTCGTCGCAATGAAATTGATACTCCTTTCAAGGATGGGATTCCGGGAGACGAGTGAATAAGGACAAGGAATAAACTATCGATTAAAAAAACTTCAACCCGTCAAATCGCAAGAAGATAAGCTGCCGACTAGTATTTCCCAGCGAGTTCAACCATGTGACAAAAGCAAGTTTCTGTCAATACCCAGGATAGTTGAAAACAAAATTGGCCTAAAAGGTTTTCAAGCCACAAGAACTACTAGCTCACCAGGCTGCGATAATACAACTGTATTGCTTGCATGCAATGCCTGGGGCTAGAAACTTCCTCCGTTAATAATTTTTAAAGGAACGTATCTTTGGAATATGTGTTCCACAGATACGTAACGTAATAAGTAACGTTGTAACCATGTGGTTACCTGATGATAATTCAATTAATTCGGCATTTGCTGCTATGCTCAAAGGTTTTGATGGATTCAGTCTTATTCATTTCTTCATTTGAAAAGTAACTATCGAAGACTGAAGCCATCCAAGGCTTCAGTCTTCGAAAGTTACTTTTCAAATGTACTGATCCCGGAAATATGCAAATCAGGCAACCCACACCTTGTAATATACGACGGCCATTCAACACACCTTGACTTAAATGTTATTATAAAGGCTAACGAAAACAATATTATCCTTTTAAAACTACCGCCTCATTCTTCCCATGTTTTGCAACTAAGCGGAATTAAAGTTATTTTAAACTTAGCATTGCTTTATTACACTTTCAAAACATTCAGGGCAAGTGTGACATAAATCCATTTATAGGCACATCACTATATCGGTTAAAAACTGTCACACTTACCCCATGCGTAGAAAAATCCATTGTTACACAAAAATAGACGTTCAAATCGTTCAAATAGATCATAAAATATATTGACATTAGTATCATCTCATAAATTTTCTGGAAAACTACGGATAAAAATAAATTAACTACAAACAGAAGCGTACCGTCATACTTGCCTCATTAATGGGGTAAGTGTGACAGTCTTTTCCACCTTAATTATTTTTAATTACCTTCAATTACAAAATGCTACTTATAGATACTAAAATGCTTAATCAACCAAACAACTACTTAATAATTGATGTTCTAAAACGGAATTATCTATGATCGGATTTCTCTGCATGATAAACTTAGAAATAAGGATCTCCGCAGTAGAACCAGAGTAACTGACATAGCCCAACGGATTAGTAAGCTGAAGTGGCAGTGGGCCGGCCATATAGCTCGAATAACCGACAACCGATGGGGAAGAAAGGTCTCGAGTGTCAGCCTCGTACTGGTAGGTGAAGTGTAGGGCGGCCCCCCACTAGATGTAATGACGACTTGGTAAGACATGCAGGAAGTCGATGGATGCAGGTGGCACAAGACCGTGCTTTGTGGCATTCCTTGGGGGAGGCTTACATTCAGCAATGGACTTGTGAAAGGCTGTAATGATGATGATGATGTCACAATAACCTGTTGTTACCTGGAGAGTGTCAGCTGGTAATCATCATTAAAATTTGACCATACTTAACATTGTTCAATATAATAATATCCAATTTTTATATAAGTACCTTGATATATTATAGCAATCAAGAACACACGAAGAACATTGTTTCTGATTTTTTATAGATATAAAAACAATAAAAGTTCTATGTTATAATTAATATATAGTTGATAAAACAATGTTTTAGTTACAAACAAGGAATCAAGCAAACCAGATGCTGCCCCTGAGAAAAATACAACTCCAGCTCCTAAAGTAATTCCCACTCAAGGCAATATTAAAACAATACCAACTTTAAACACCCAAGGTAAGGACTTTGAAGGAAATGAGTCATTTCTTTTTTCATTCGCATTTCCATGATTTCTGACATTTTGATGCTCACCTTTTATTTATTTATATTTTATAAATACTCACGCCTGTCACCCAGAGGGGTAGGCAGAGACTACGGACTTCCATTTGGCGCGATCCTGACACACCTCTCTCGCCTCTTTTACATCCATATATCTACGCATACACGCTCGTCGGTTAAGGGTACTCCTAATCTGGCCCATTTTTAATGTATCGCCGATTTGGTCGATAAACCTTCGTCTAGGGCGTCCCTTCCCGACCCTGCCGTTCACTTCTGCAACATAAATTTGCTTTGTCACTCTTTCCTCGTTCATTCTTTCTACATGACCAAACCACCGAAGCATTCCTTTCTTAATCCTTGTCACAACGTCATCTTGCAAACCACACTTTTCTCTTATCACACTATTTCTCACCCTGTCATTCAGATTCAGCCCTAGCATACTCCTTAAGGAACGCATTTCTACAGCATTTATTCTACTCTCATGCTTCTTCTGCCAGACCCAACTTTCACTACCATATATTAAAGTAGGGACTAACACAGCATTATGAATTGCCATACGTGCCTTAGTTGACACATTCTGACTCCTCATAATAGCGTGTAGAGCCCTATTCACTTATTATTTATTATACCTTTTATTTAACAAGTCTTTAATTTTTTTAAGAAACCAAATATGTATCTTAATAAAAATAATTGTGAAAAACTGCTTCTCCTTCCCACTGCTTAATATTTCCTAAAACCAGGTAGCTGCTTACTGCCATTTCTTAAATTTTCTACCTTAAAATTTCATTGTAGCAAGTTTTTAATCAACTGGTGCATACCATCTTAGGCGTCGGCTGTGACATATGTACTTAAAGACTTTTTGTCTAGAATTTGTTGCGGGTGCATTAAACTGCAGCCGTCACCGAACATCAGGTGGCCGAGCATTTAATCATATTTTTTTAGACTAAGGGTGACAAACGAACACACAGTCCACCATATCTATCCTCAATATATAAGAATATATAATAACTAGCTCTGGCCCGCGTTTTCACCCGCTTATATCACGCGTCTGAGCCGCGCGCCATGACTTGGCAACTCGCTCATGCAGTTCAGTCATTTTAACTAAAAAATTGGTAAGATCAATAGAGTACTTTTATTTATCGGCATATGTAGAGAATAGTTAAATTTTATCCAATATCCACTCTCCCTCCGCCTCCCGGGTTAGCGTCACCCCTCGCGTCCCAGAAAATGTCCCGAAGCGCGGTTTTTTCAGTTTTAAACAAAACCGTACACGATACATAAAAAGTGTACGAAATGATCCTTGATTAATTTACTATCAACCTCTTATACATATAAAAGCGACATAACTTATAGTTGCCGCGCAATCTGCCAGGAAATATGATTTTTTTATCATTTATCGATTTTATTTGCTCAAATTTTAGTTATCTCAAAAACCCACTTTACCGCCAAGATATTGGCGCGTAAAAAATAAAATGGCCAGGCGCTTGACGGGTTAACAAAAACCAATATTTAAGGCTAGCAGAGAGGTTTAGCCTCACGCTAGATAGCCTATACTATTTCTCAGTAATATGGCTATAATGTACTAAAATAATTTGTTTCAGAGATTAACGTGTTTAAACAAACATGAAACTCTTCCGCTTTATTATATTTGTATAGATATATAAAAAATATAGACATATGAATCACAATGCAGATTCGTTATCACCCCTGAGGACTAAGATGTCTCATTTCCATTGGAACGGGTCTCCGTTTCTCTACACTCACCACAAAACACAGCAGCATTCATTCATGAAGCTGCTATTTTACTCTGGTATTTTGTGAGAGCGTGGTCCTTCCCCAGTCGAGCCGTCCCATTCGTAGCACCGTAGCCGAACCATAATGTAGCTGTAGCATGGCTCTACCACGTTTGAAATTTATTCATTATAATTTATTGCCACACTTGGCAGGTGGGTTTGCAACTGCAGTTTATTTTTTTATTTTAAGTTATTATCAGGAAGATGCCACTTACCGTTTTTCATTCCCTTCTGTGGGCCTTCACGACACCTACGGCATGATATGGGCTAATGAGTGCACGCCGCCGCTAAACGGCACAGGTGTACTAGCTAATTTACCCTGTTATGAAAAAAAGTATTACTATCAAATTAATTTACTTTGCATCTACCACGGGGAGTGCTCAGAGAAGTTGTTCGGACTAATTCCAGCCGCTCAATTTCACCATCGTCTGGATGATTGGCGGTCCACCGCTGTTTATAAAAAGTTTTCTTCCTCGCACAATTTCCTTGTGGAATCGACTACCACCGGCTATTTTTCCGGACCGATACGACTTACGGACCTTCAAGAAATGAGCCTTCTCTTTTTTTAATGGCAATGCCCCTGGTGTTCCAGCTGTTCATGGGCGGCGGTAGTCACTTACCATCAGGAGCACATGCTCGTTTGCCCCACCTTGTTTGTATGTATTTATAAAAAAAATTCTTTCCAAAAAAAAACACATATTTTACATGATATTTAAAAATAATAAGGAACAATATTAAGTGTGAATCACATAATTACTTAATTCCAGCGAGTGCTACAAGATCATCATCACAAGCGCCTAAGCGACCGCAGAATAATTACCAAAATGTATACCAGATTCAAGGTACCATTCAAAATGACCCGAATGTCCAGCAATGTAAGTCTATTACCTGTAATTATTTATGTATTATAACAACTACAAGTATTAGATCGAAGATTATTTGTCAACTATGGTAACTTAGGGGATCTTAAATTTTATACTACGTAAAGACCCAATCCGTTCTCCACTAGAACCAACGAAATTGTTAGGTAATGCAACTGCACAACCTCAAAAACCCCAAAACATCAAAACTAGATTGTTAACCAGTGCGTGTTGCCAGTGATGACCTATGGATTTGAAACGTGGTCCTTCACTGCTGGCCGTATGATGACGCTCAAAGTTGCTTAGCGAGCTATGCTGGGGGTTTCTCTGCGTGATAAACTTAGACATGAGGATATTCGCAGTAGAACCAGAGTAAACGACATAGCCCAAAGGATTAGTAAGCTGAAGTGGCAATGGGCCGACCTCGTGGCAGCCTCGTACTGGCAGGCGAAGTGGAGGTCGTCCCTCCACTAGATGGAGTGACGAAATAGTAAGACATGCAAGAATTCAATAGATGCAGCTGGCTTGGGACCGTACTTTGTGGCATTCCTTGGGGGAACAATGTTCACACACCTATATTCAACAGTGGACTTGTGAACGACTGTAATAATGATGATAATGAATTCATAATGATATCCATCACCACCGATAATTTAACAAGCTATCGGTGGTGAAGGATATCATTATGCTACTAAATTACTCTGGTATTCTGTGAGAGCGTGGTTCTTCCGTGATCAAGTCAACCCTTTAATTCAGCATTATAGCTTTAGCGTTACTGTACCATGTGTGTATACTTAGTAAACAATAATGATTATTTCAGCAAGCGCTATGAGAGAACCACAAGGCTCAATGATACCCCAACATCAATACCAAAACATTTACCAATTTCAAGATGCTGTTCAAAATGATCCGAACGCTCAAATGGGTTAGTTACATTTTTTATTTACGACTAGCTGTTCCCCGCGACTTCGCCCGCGTGTAATTTAGGGTTTTAATTATGTTGTGCGGCATCCAAATTTTTTCTAAAATATATAAGATACTCCTTATAACATCAGCCGTTTCGGAGATTAGCCGGAACAAACAGACAGACAGACAGACAAAAATTTTAAAAATTGTGTTTTTATTATAAGCACACATTTAGTAAAAAGCTGTTATTTTGATATTACAAACAGACACTTCAATTTTATTTATTTGTATAGATAAATTTTAAATTGGAAAAATGTGGTAATAATTGCATTAATTGTTTAGATCAAAGTATGAAACTTAAACAATGGTAAGACTTTTTAATGCAATAACCATTTATTATCCAGTAAATACCAAATTTCTTGTGGGAGCAAAAACTACAAAATGTATTTTACTAGATAGAGTTCAATAGAAGCCGAAGCTTATATCCGCCTATAATTTCTAATCTAGTCTGGTGAACCCTGCCTTATTGTGTAGTGAGTCCCTATAAGCACTTGACCAATTTTCTACAAATGGGTTTTCCCAAATTTGTGAAAAAAAAATTCAACACACAAGAAACCTGTTAGTCGCTTTGTATAATTAACTGTTAATCGAAAGTACAAGCCGACATCAAATAATTCAAAAGAATAGGGATGGAATTGTTTCTCCAAATGTATATGGGACACCCCTGTAAGTAGTAGTATTGTTTATAGGATAAGGCTGACAAACGAACACACAGTCTACCTGAAGGTATGTGGTTGCTGCGGCTCATAGACATCTACATTTATCCTAGATTACGAATCAAAATTCAGATGCGTTGTCACCCGAGAGGACTAAGATGGAATGCCTCGTTTCCATACGAAACACAGCAGCGTGTGAGTATTATGTATCTAATAAAAAAGAAATCACCACAATCTTTTTTTTTATAGAACAAGATTGACAAACGAGCACACTGTCCACCTAATGGTAAGTGGATGCTGCGGTCTATAGACATTCTACGTCTATCCTCGATTAAGAATCAAAATGCAGATGCCGCACGTCTAAAGATTAAGATGGAACGTTTCGTTTTCAGTAAAAAGGGTCTTCAGTTCTCAACATTCACAATACGAAATACAACAGCATTAAGCTGCTATTTTACGCTGGTATTCTGTGAGAGCGTGGTCCTTCCTCGGTCGAGCCGACCCATTCGTGCTACAACTATACTACTAATATTAAGTTGAAGTAAATTTATAAGTTTTATTTACCAAGCAATCATTAAATAATTTGTGTAACTCTAATTTGATAACAACTAACATTGAAATTCCACTAGGACAAAACACTCATAAGTATTTAAACTTTTATTTCGTTACCTTTCAGGAAACACTCCACCACCAAAAGGTAACTTTTTTTCCTAGAAAATATCTATAATGTTGACTGACGAGTTAACTGTCCACCTGATGGCAAGTTCTACGACCCATGGACACCTGCAAGGAACTGGATCACAGCAAAGGGTACTCTGCAGTTCGGCGGCTTAAAAGGTAAGAGGCTGGAATCTACCCAGACAGTAGATGTCTGTAAGGTAGGAAAGGAGTTTTATTTAATATACTCTTTTCAAGACTTTCCGACCACTTTACATTCATTACAGCCTATCAAAAGTGCACTGGCCTCCCCCATAGATTGCCTCGTAGAGGGGATATTTGCCATAGTTGCCACGTTTGATAGGTGGGTATGCAACGGCAGCTTATAATGTTCTTAGTTGCTGTCAGGATAATACTGCCGTCCATATCTTGTTTCACTTTTTGCTTAAGACATGGTGTGCCCCGACCTCAGAAACTACTATCTGGTTTGTTTTTAGGTCTTGTAGTTTGTCTCCACGTTTTATTCAAAGTTAATTTTGTTTTTATTGGTAATTAGTTTTAACTACTCTACACTCTCACATACACGCTTGGCATTGCAGTATTTCAACATCAGTAATTATATCAATGTATCTACAGAAACATAGACGAAAAAATATATCTTGTATGGTAAATATTATAAGCGAATTTTCAAGTCGTACAACATAAGTCCTTGGTTTTGATGATAGGAATTACTTTGCAAGAGATTTTCGGTATAATATTACCAACAATTAAAGATAGAAATAGAATTTCAAGTGACTCTGAAACCATGCTCAACTTCTTGTCACACGCACACATCTTTCTTCTTTCTTTCTTTATCAGCCAGTAAAGTTCACTGCGTGCGTCCAGCACGCATGTGAACCTAAAGCCAGGTTATTCGTTGCAAATGATTTTAGATGACATTTATAACTCATGAATAGGATAAAATATGTGACAGATTTTTTTAAATATATTATTTTATAAATTAATCTATGTAGTAAACTTTATACCACGTATGGTAATTTTGTTTTTGATGCCCTTTTCGTCAATATCAAATATAAAGGCAAACTTTTTTTTATTAAATGTGTCCATTGGCCACTTATTCGTTTCGTAAAACAAAATTGTCAAAACTGTCAAACGCTTAAAACTGTCCTCTTTTGTAGGTGTACCTTTGACATTTTTGAAGAGACAACAAAAATTTGGAGCTATTGAACCACAACAGGGTAAGTTTAATAATGGGTATTATTAATTTTATCTCGATTGTGATTATGACCTGGCTAATAATAACTAATTTACATTGATATTTTTTTTAATTTCTTATTAAATAAAACGTAGTATGACGACCGTATTACAATATTAATTGTATTTGCCTGTCAAGCCATAGGTTATAAAAAAGTAATACCTACCTCCACCTACCTCATAAATTCTAGGTTGTAATGCTATAAATTTTAGGAAATATACAGTAGGAGCTGATAATACCAGTTATTACATACTCTGTGACAGCGTGTAATGCATAAAGTAATCCATACAATAATATATATAAAATAACATAAAAATTGTGAAAAAGTGAATGCAGGAAATAGAGTGAATGGGGCTCTACACTCTATTGTGAAAAGTCAGAATGTGTCCAAAAAGGCACGTATGGCAATTCACAATGCTGTGTTAGTACCTACTTTAATGTATGGTAGTGAAAGTTGGGTGTGGCAGAAGAAGCATGAGAGTAGAATAAATGCTGTAGAAATGCGGTCATTTAGGAGTATGTTAGGGATGAAGCTGAATGACAGAGTGAGAAATTGTTTAATAAGAGAAGAGTGTGGTTTGCAAGATGATGTTGTGACCAGGATTAAGAAAGGAATGCTTCGGTGGTTTGGCCATGTAGAAAGAATGAATGAGGAAAGAGTGACAAAGCAAATTTATGTTGCAGAGGTGAACGGCATAGTCGGAAAGGGTCGCCCTAGGCGAAAGTTTATCGATCAAATTGGCGATATATTAAAAATGGGCCATATCAAGAGTACCTTTAACCGACGAGCGTGTATGCGTAGGTATATGGATGTGGAGGAAGCGAGAGAGGTGTGTCAGAATCGTGCCAAATGGAAGTCCATAATCTCTGCCTACCCCTCTGGGTGACAGGCGTGAGTGTTTATGTATGTATGTAACATAAAAATTGTGTTTCATCATCATCAGCACAACCCCTCATAAAACCATTAATGAACATAGACCTCTCCCGAGGAATACCACAGAATATGGTCCTGAGCTCCTGAGTTACCTGGATGGACTTCCCATCACTCCATCTAGTTGACGGCCATAGACTGAAATAGCTTCAAAAATAAACCTTAATAGATTTTATTAATTCTAGAGGACAGAGAAAAATATTCAAAATAATACCTTGTTGTCACTGTTGTATGTCAAATATATAATGATGCTTATAATTATTAGTGTTATTACTGAAATTATATATTGGTTAATTTATCACATAAACCTCTGTTTCGTTCTCTATGTTGTAGAACTAAACAAATTACTGTAATTTTTTTTAAAACTGGTATAATTGGGAACTAAAAGGTACAATATGTACAAATTAAAAAATGATTTTATTTGAGCGCCAAGCTCGTTAGCTCACTCCCCACTCCAAGCGATCCGCGGCCGTCAGCCTACCGGTTTTACTGCTTCCGTCACCTTAATGTTGTTTCATAATCAGAAAAACCTCTTCTAACTCCTTCCATTCCTTCCTATATTTCCTTTCCTGTGATCGGTACCTATCCTAACTTCTTTCCCCATCATTTTACTCCCTCGTTTTCTTTTACATCATATACATTTTGAAATATATATTTCGTAAAAAGGTTCTTACTTTTTAACACAAAATAAAAATTTGAAAATTATAAAACAATATTTTTTTCGAATCTGAAACTATATGTAACAAGCAACACAACTTTATATGTAACATCATTTAATATATTTCAGATTACGATGCGCCAATGGCTCAACCTTCATTTTACGCCATGCCAGATCAGTCAACATTTGCACAGCAGGCTATAACGAATAATTTTGAAAACCCTCAATTTAGCACCAATACGCCAATATTCGTTCAAACTGAAATGCAGGAGACGACTCGTTCCCAAGTTTATTCACCGTCAGATCTATTTACGGAAGGAGGGCGGGATGAATCTGACAAAATTGAAGATGGTAAGAAATAAAATTTGTCAATTATATAAATTACAGTATATGTTGGCGCGTCTATAAAATTCATGCGTGGTAGAGCCATGCTGCAGCTATATTAGTAGTATAGTTGTAGCACTAGTGGTTCGACTCGACGGGGGGGACCACGCTCTCACAGAATACCAGCTTAAAATGGCAGCTTGGTACTGCCGTGTTTCGTATGGTGAGTGTAGAGAACCGGAGACCCATTTTACTGGAAAAGAGGCATTTCATCGTAGTCCTCACGGGTGACGACACATCTGCGTTTTGATTCTTTGTTGAGGATAAATGTAGATGTCTATGGGTCACAGCAGCCACTTACTATCAGTGTGGACTGTGCTCGTTTGTCACCCTATCCTATAAAAAAAATACCGGTTGGATCGAGAGTGAGCGAGTGGCTGCGTCACTCTAGCGGAGCGTCATATCGATGGTGGTGAGGTGGAATTTAGGGTATATCGAGTAACTCCCCACCCCACTATTTTGTGCAGTATAAAGTTCACTGTAGGCGTCGTGCGCGGGGGATTCCGTCTAAGTTGGTCTACAAGTGAGATCATGCTACAAGTGCTAAGACTCGTAAAATGAAAGTGTCGTGGTTTTGTTCGTTGTAGTAATTCTTCTAGAGTAGGCAAGGAAGATCGTGTTGCTGAGAGGCTGCCCTGTGTTACATTGAGATGGGTAGTGTTACTGTTGTTCCGTCCGTACATATGACGGTATCGTCGAATTGTAATTACTCTATATTTAATGTATAATTTTTTTAGTTGTTTTAGAAGTAGTTATAGTTATTTTTGATTATTATTTATTTTAGATATTCGCGAAGGTTCGTCATCCCCAGATATTTGTCAGCAAGGAGAGAAGCGTCTCAGCGCCTTCAAACGTCTCGGTCCGCTTACTCAGCCGAAGAAACCAAAGTTGACAATCAACCTGAGTTTCGATAAAGAACAACCCGTCAGGTATGATAAACAATAAATAAATTATTATACAGTCCGTACGATAAGGAATGAGATTAGAAATGGCGGCTCATCGAGCCCGTACCGTCTGCACGCACAGTACCAATAGCGAAAACCCACTAATAACGGTATATCGTTATAACGTTATATTTATTCGCTCAATTGAAAACTTTCTATTAATGGAAAAATATTTGAAAATAATTGTATTCGCTAGTAGGTACATTAATTTAAAAATAACATTAATAACTAGCGACCCGCTCTGGCTTCGCCTGGGTGGGATCTAATTGACGACTTAAGATAATCGTTAAAGACTTTTTATTTTATCGTATCAATATTTCTATTTTAATGAATTCTCTAACTTTTCCGGATAAAATTTAGGCTAGAATCACTCCTGGTGTTATTACTATTATTCTCTTCGGTTCAGTCATTCCGAAGATTAGCTCGGACATACAGACAGAGGAAAATTTTAAAAATGGTTACTCTAAACAAAACTAATAATTAAAAAAACTGAAGGTACTCCGGGTTAACTCTGACATCGAGACGTCAATCACCTCAGTCCCCCGTGACCATGGGTGCTGTAAAGCACCCGCAACGTCGGGAATTTAATAAAAATAAATAAATTAAACGCGATAGAATCCGTAAAAGTAGTTTCAATGGTTTTTCATTCAATGGTTACTCATATTTTAATGACATATTTTGTACACGCCCCTAGCTGCCCCAACAAAGGTTGACGGGACTAGGGCCCATGAGTAATCCCATCGACGGGCAGCAGAGGGACGGGGCCCAACGGCCTATGGAGACTTAACCTACACAATAGAGATAAGGCTAGGTAAATAAATAGTACGTACCTGGATCCGAAGCTAAGACCGCTCCAAGACTCGGTCAGGCCGTAGGTAGGTGTAGGTGCATGTAAGTGGTGTGTAGTAGTGTTTATTTATGTGACCTGACCTAACTGAGGTGATCGGGCAGCGGCCTGGTCCCATGCTGCCCCACAATGCTGCATCACTCCAGCAGGCGTCACCAAATGACAGTTTCTTTCTTCATTTCACTATTTCAGTCTATCAACTTTATTGTACATTTAACTAACTTCAAACTCAACTAATTCAACGTTCATCGTAAAATCAAACACGTGACACCCGACACAAGTAACGAACAGTAGTTCAAAGTTCAATATTCAATGTTCTGGATTCATTTATCACCAAATTACAAATAGGGACCTAACGCGATCTCTTCACGAGTCACAAAGTTCAGCGTTACAAACAACAACTAAATTCCTTCGTACGATATTAAATACTACGCCGCAATAAGAATTCAAAATCAACCTAGCTGACACGCAAACTAACTACAGAGTCAACACACAAAAGGCTCTTAACGCGACGGTACAATTAAACAATGACTTCCAAAAAGAATTAACCGGGCCACGCCCTCGAAATGGAATGCGAGCTTCAAATTCCAGACCGTACCGACTCGGCGTGCGCGCAAGGTTCCACGTCACACAAGCAAGTTAAATATTACAAAATGCACTTCAACACGAAATCACTATACAATTGACGCAATTACTTTCAAACGAAATTACTTTAATCAGTCAAATTCAATACAAGCCTCTTGTCACGACCGTAGAACTTAGACAAACTAATTCGAGGCGGTCTTCACGAAACCCCAAATTAAATAGCGAATTAAACGCGCACAAATACTAAAAATCTAGACCACAAAAACCAAAACTGGTCGCGCGAAACCTCTGCACCGGTCACCACCAAATACGTTAATCGGCCGCGCCGCTGCTCTCAAGCTACTGGCATCGCCCACGAGCGCCGAACGCCGGGAAGCTGCATACCGCTACCCCTCCCCCGGCGACCGCACGTCACCTCACACCATCGGGCGATTCGCTTGGTCTAACGCGATTGGATGGCGTTTCAAATGACCATGTTTGGGCCTAAACATATTTTATACAAAAATATTAACGAACAAAATCAACAATAATTATGATGAAAACTCTCAGAAGGCGTCATTGCTCACAAATGGAGCAAAACTGGACTAATTTTTTTTTGTAATTTGTGGCATTTTGTTATCATTGATTCCAATGACAAATTGGACTGAATTTATAGAACGTACGAAAAACGCGTATCGCAACGTATTTTTATTTGCAGTCTTTACCGACAGGTGTGAGTATAGATAGCGACAGTGGGCGAGCGAGAGGTGAATAGCGGCGACGTCATTTTCAATCCCATTCTTTAACCGCACGGGTAGTATTCCGTTTTACCATTCTCATACACGTAAGTGCGCACAAGCACACATATTTAACTATAAGTTCGCTGTTTTATAAACGCACGCAAGCGTACTTTGACAATAACGACTGTGGTGCAGTGGACAAGCATTCGGCTCGAATTCTACACGGAACAAGTATTTATATTGCCATTATAGATTATCAAAAGTCCCCTGTTGAACATAGGCCTCCCCGTATATTGCCTCAAAGGGGGATATTTGCCATAGATGCCACGCTTGGTTGGCAAATCAGCAAACGGAGTTTTTTTTTATTTTTTAGTTCTTATGAAGACTGTGCTGCCCATCTCCTGGTTTGTTTCCCTCTGTCGCCTAACGACACCCATGGGACGAAGTGGGGCAGTGTAGTATTTGTATTAACTTCAAATAATTGTTCTGGGTCTGAATGTTTGTCTTACTCTGTAATTTCAAAACATCACTTCACTGCCAAGTTTGGCAGGATGATAGTTGAGGTGATCTTGATGTCTCGTACATTTGACGATGCTTCCTGAAGTTAAAAATCGTCTTCTAAGCCGTAGAAATCTTTTTATGCGAACGAGAACGGGGAGAAGTAGTCCTTCCCCAAAAAGGGGCTGCCATGGGTCGGTCGCGCTGATGGGGCCGCGGATGTGTGCGGAAGTGTTACTGTAGCTCGCCAATATGCGGCAAAGGGGTTTTAGTCGGGGCCAGTCTGACACAACCCGTCCTTGCCCTCGCCACGCGGGTATACATTTCCCCACGTAAAATAAAGGACTTCTTTCTGCCTAGAAGTCCGTCTGAGCGGGTACCGCCCTCTCCCTATTTCTGCCGCTACCAAATAACAGCGCTTGCACTGTTGTGTTCCCGTCTGGAGGTAAGAGAGCCACTATATATACATTGTGTGAGGCATCTCATCTTAGGTCATTTTGTTTGAAGTTGGCTGCAAATATTCATGGACTGCAGTAGCCAATTCCCATCATTCTATAATAATAAAAAAATCCTTACTAAGAAATCCTTACTCCTAGAAAAGGAGATATATAAAATATCCAGGGGGCCACTCCATTTTACGATATCATCATTATATAATTATCCGTTTACAGGGAAGTTGTTGGCGATAATGAAAACGACGTCATTCCTGAAATCTTCGTCCCAGTTCACAAACGCCAAGACATGCTCACCAGTACCGATGAAGTTGTGGTGAAATATTTGCCTCATTGGCCATGGAAAAACAATGTAATTATTAGAAGAGGCGTCACAGCGAGGTCTTCTAAGGTATAATACTTGGCAATTCATGTAGAGCTTTATAAAGATATTGTCTCTATTATTTTTTAGAGCCTTAATGTAGAGCGCCGTATATTTTGTAGCGCGTTTTTAGAGTAAGTACTAACAATCCAGTTTCAAGAGTGATTGCGCGGTGTAAGACAATCCTACTACTTCCTAGGCGACAAAGGAAACAAAATAGGCGATGTGCATCATCAGCATCAGTACCTATAGCAATATCTTAAATATTTCCTCTATGAGGCAAACAGTGCGGGAGACCTAATTAGGGCCGGTAGACTAAAAAACATAAGTCCAAAAGTCACACTTTTCAGAATAAGTAAAAACAAAATTAAAGAAAATGCCGATAAACTATAAATTCAAATTTATTGGAATATAAATATAATTTGACATAAATTTAATAAAACGCGATTGTAGTGACTTATGTGCTTTAGTCCGCCGGCCTACATAGGATGCACTATACATATAGCTATGTTCAACAGCGGAGTTTTGACATGATGTAATGAATGAAAGATTGAGATAATGAGCAGCATAAGGAAGACAAGGGTATCAGCTAAACACTTGCTAATCTGTCTTTCGCGTTTAATGCTGTTCCTCACAGGTCTGGGTTTATATCTAGCATATATTACATGCTATACTGCCATATGCCCGAGTGTAAATCGAACAACGTAAAAGCGGTTTACTTGTAGTCAGCTGATGTAATTGCCGCAGGATCCCGTAACGATTTGGTATCATACCCTCCGATCATTACAGTCTTTCATAAGTCCACTGCTGAACATAGGCCTCCCCCAAGGAATGCCACAAAGCACGGTCCTGAGCCACCTGCATCCATCGACTTCCTGCATGTCTTACCAGGTCGTCATTCCATCTCGTGGGGGGTCGCCCTACACTTCACCTACCGGTACGAGGCTGCCACTCAAGAACTTTTCTTCCCCATTGGTTGTCGGTTCTTCGAGCTATATGCCCACTGCCACTTCAGCTTAATAATCCGTGGGGCTATGTCGGTCACTCTGGTTCTACTGCGGATATCCTCATTTCTAAGATTATCACGCAGAGAAACTCCGAGCATAGCCCTCTCCATAGCTCGCTGAGCGACCTTGAGCTTCATCATACGGCCAGCAGTGAAGGACCACGTCTCAGTTCCATATGTCATCACTGGCAACACGCACTGGGTGTACAGTCTCGTTTTAAGGTTTTGAGGAATGTCTGACGAGAAGATGTGTCGTAGTTTCCCGAACGCTGCCCAGCCGAGTTGAATCCGTCGATTAACCTCTCGGTCGAAGTTGGCCTTACCTAGTCGGACTATTTGTCCCAGGTAAACATACTTGTCAACAACTTCGAGCTTAGTGCTCCCAACAACTACCGGCATAGGTGTGACATGGACATTGAACATGATCTTTGTTTTGTCCATGTTCATCTTCAGACCTATCCGTTGGGAGACACTATTGAGGTCATTGAGCATGGTGCTTAGATCCTCCAGCGATTCTGCCGTAAGGACTAAATCGTCGGCAAATCGAAGGTGAGTGATGTACTCGCCATTGATGTTAATACCGTATCCTTTCCAGTCCAGAAGCTTGAAAACGTCTTCCAATGCAGCGGTGAAGAGTTTCGGGTATATAATGTCACCCTGTCTTACACCTCTCTGCAATTGGATAGGTTTCGTACTCTGGTTCTGTACTCGGATAGCCATCGTAGCCCTACTGTACAAGCACTTCAGCACTTCGATATACCGACAGTCAACTTGGCACCGCTGAAGGGACTGCAGCACCGCCCAAATTTCGACGGAATCATAGTCCACATACGCCAGGCATAGTGGCAAATTGTACTCCTCGGACTTCTGTACAACTTGCCGAAGGGTATGTATGTGGTCTATGGTGCTAAAGCCCTTTCGGAAACCGGCTTGTTCGGGAGGCTGGAAGTCGTTCGTCGTCGACTTTCGAAAACAGCACGTAGACGCGGCTCATAAGGGAAATCGGTCTGTAGTTCTTTAAGAGAGCGTTGTCACCTTTCTTGAAGAACAAGACCACCGCACTTCTGCTCCACGCCTCCGGTGTAATGCCACCATGGAGGATGGAATTAAAGAGCTTCTGTAGGACTTCAAGTACCGGTTTTCCACCCGCTTTCAGAAGCTTGCGTGTGGCTCCAACGATGACGTGTACAGCTGTCCATAGAACCTCTCAATCTCACTCAAAATCTCAGGTGCCCCGGAAACGATGCTGCCACACTCGGTCCTCAGCTTTGACCGTTGGCTCTTTCTGGCAGACAGATCTCTGGCAAAGACTTTGGAACCTTGGTTCCGCTCGATCGCTTCTTCAATACAAGCTGTATTGAAGTTGCGTAAGTCCCGTCGCATGCATTTGGAGATCTGTCTGTTCAGTTGCCTGTATGCTGTCAAATCTGTTGAAAAATGTAGCTTCATCTCCCGTCTAACAGCCATGAGATTAAGAGTGTGATCGGAGAGATTTTGTGTTCTTCTGCGGCGGGTCTTGCAGAATTTAGCTCCGACCGCATGAACAGTTTCCACGAGCTTGTCATTCATATCTTCCATTTCATTGCAGTTTTCTTGGCACTGAAAACGGTTTTGTAACTCGAGCTGAAAGGTTTCAGGACTTTGGAACAAAGCATGAGGAGGACGGAGCGTTGACTTCATTAGACGAGACCTCTCCAACTTAATGTTTAGGTTCAGTGTGCCTCTAACCATTCGGTGATCGCTACCAGTTTTCACCCTCGCGATCACGGAGACATCACTGAACAGTTGTCGTCTGGTCGTCATAATGAAGTCAATCTCATTTTTTGTCGAACCGTCGGGGCTCGACCAGGTCCACTTCCTGTGGGGCCGCTTCTGGACCTTTGTAAAGTTGCAAGCGATGTGCCGGCATGAAATACTGTCTCGCTCTGCTGAGCACGCCAAGCTTTTTAGAGGCCAATTTGGCCTTCCCTTCCAAGTGACCACGAAACTGCACACTATTCGATATGTCGACGCCAAGGATTCCGATACTAGCTGAGGCAGCAAGGGCAGTTTTTTTTTTATAGGATAAGGGTGACAAACGAGCACACAGTCCACCTGATGGTAAGTGTTTGCTGCGGCCCATGAACATCTACATCTATCCTCTATTACAGATCAAAATGTAGATGCGTTTTCACCCGTGAGGACTAAGATGGAATGCCTCATTTCCAGTAAAAAGGGCCTCCGGCCACCTGCACTCACCAAGCGAAACGCAGAGGTAAACCTCTACTACACGCTGGTTTTCTGTGAGGTCGTGGTACCACCCCGGTTCGAGCCGGCCCACCCGTGCGACAGCAAAAGCTGCCGCGTGGCTCTACCACTGTTGAAAATGGACACTGTTGAAAAGGTGTTAGGAAAATGTAAGCTCCAATCGCCTTATATTAATTTTATTTGAATTTCGTGGTCTTAGTTTGACGTTTGGAGAGGTATTTCCATTGTTTGCCACCTGGGGCACTAAAAAACGCGCATCGAAAATAAATGAATTAATGTTTTTAAAAATATTCTATTCCAGAGCGCAATGTTAATGGAGCAAGAACAAATGGAAGAGGTGTATAATAAATCTTATTTATATGTACAAGTGTCGGTAAGTGTGATTTGATATCATCAAAAAATAACTAAAAATGGTTAAGAGTGCGAATAATTTATTCCTCGGGTATGCAGGTTTTCTCAAGTTTTTCTTCATTGCCGAGCGAGTGGTAAATGAATACCTCAAATCGCAATTCACAATTACATTGATGCCGGCGGGGATCGAACCCGGGTTGCTCGCATACTGTTAAATTTACGGCGAGCACTTAACCTCTTAACTACCGCGGCTTATGTTTACATATTAACACCATTGCTTATAGAGAAACGCAAAGTGTCATTCCGTGTTTTCAAATTTCGTTAGAATTGGATTGACGGAGAGCGTCTCGAGTCTGCGAGTACACTTTACTTTTGATAAATACAAAATTCTTTTAAATTAAAACAAAATAATATATATTTTTAGCCGACTCCAAAAAAAAGCAGGAGGTTATATTTTTTGTATGTATATTACGCGATAGCAAATCGAAAAATATATCTCAAGAACAGTTCCATTTAAATTATAAAAAAAATTCTCCCCTAAGGTTAGGAATATAGGGGAGGAAATTTTTAATGTAACTATGTATTTAGATGATATTTTTATAGAGTAAGGCTTTAAAAACATCTACATCAATCCTCAATAAAGAATCAAAATGAAGATGCGTTCTCACTAAGATGGATTATGCTGCTATTTCACGCTGGTATTCTATGCGAGCGTGGTCTTTCACCAGTCGAGCCAATCCATTCGTACTGCAACCATAATATAGCTGCGGCGTGGCTCTATCACGTATAAAACATGTCACATTGAGGTTGTAATATTGCTTAGTCCCCTCAAATGGGTAAAGATTAACTTTATAAAAGTAAAAACCGACTTCTAATAACTAAAAAGAATAATTTTTTTATTATTTCTTAAATCGGAGTTTTAATTTTCTCAACCCTGCAAAGCATCTATTACGGATTATGACTTAGCTCTGGCTGAAATTCCCTTGAAAATCCACCTCCAAACAAGTAAAGTACGGGTGATACGGAAAATAGACTGAGCAAATAGAGTCAGTTGTGTCATATATCTGCAGTTTGAACTGGAACGAACTAACAAGCGAAAACAATGTTAAAACCGCCTTACATAAATTTAACGATGTTATGACTTATGACATACGCAATCAATAAGTACGCACAGGAAGTTAAAGTAGGTCGCGGAAAAAGCAACTTGAAATGCCGGACCACCCCTGGATTAATAAGATGCATGAAACACCAGGACAAGTTGCACCTTGAGTGTAGAGCTGATCCGAATAACCAACATAAATTATTGGTCTACACGCGGTATAGAAACATTTTGCTCACTCTACTTTGGAATATGAAAGCTCAATGTGACAGAAAGGAAATTATCAAAAACAAGGACAATGCCCGTACAGGTTGAAGAGAGTAGGTCCAAGTGTACTGCCCTGCGGAACGCCAAAAATTTTGGATTTAGGCTACACGTGGCTCTACCACTAACAATGGTAGAGCCACGCGTCAGCTTTTGCTGTCGCACGGATGGGCCGGCTCGAACCGGGGTACCACGACCTCACAGAAAACCAGCGTGAAGTAGAGATTTACCTCTGCGTTTCGCTTGGTGAGTGCAGGTGGCCGGAGGCCCTTTTTACTGGAAATGAGGCATTCCATCTTAGTCCTCACGGGTGACAACGCATCTACATTTTGATTTGTAACAGAGGATAGATGTAGATGTCTACGGGCCGCAGCAACCACTTACCATCAGGTGGACTGTGTGCTCGTTTGTCACCCTTATACTATAAAAAAAAATGTTAATTTGGGGCCACAATTAGCATGTAGCCTACTAGTGTAATTTCCTACTTTTATGCACTGTTTTCGAATTAAGAGATAAGTTTCAAACCATTAAAGGGTATTTCCTCTTACTCCAGCGGCTTATAGCCTTTTCAAGAGGAGGCCAACAGAGACATTGTCAGAGTCTCAAACACCTATGCAACATTTCCCATTTTCCACATATTGTGGTCAGTTAGTGCTTCTACAGCGTCCATGGTCGATTTTCAATGTCGAAAACCATATTGGTTATCTTACATAATCCGATGTTTATGTAGAAAACGGACAAGTTGTCTGCTTCACATACGCCACTACATATGAAGAATTTAAAGTACTACGGGGGCGTTAACTGTTTATTTATAATCTCACACTCAAAGTACACAAATATATAAGAACTCGCCCGGGTTACAATGACTTAAGAAGCAAACGAACTTTTAAAATTCACGTTCCAATCGTAAAGTCGGACCTATCTAAAAGTTGTCCTACCTTCTCACATCCCTTAATTTACAACAGAATAACAAAAATTATTTACCTTAAAGATCGCTCAATTTCCTAATGTAAAACTCTACTAAAGAACATGTTCTACACTCTAACATATAATGACACTAAAGAGCTAATTATGAATACAGATAAAATATAATGTTATGATATTTTTATCCAAAGTAATGTTTTTGTGTCAACCCTTGCATATTTTTAGCGACTAAATGTCAAGACAGCCTTATAGGTAGATATTTCGCCTTTATTATCAAATAAGTTGACCCTTTATTGGTATTTATTACACATATTATGTATATAATCTTATTTTATTTTGATGTTTAAAGTTGTTATTTGTCATACCGAATGGAAAGAGTTTTTCAATGAACGCTCCAAAACTAAAGTTATTTGGTACAAAACGATACAGAGTGAGCCACCCCGAATACCCTGGTTTATAGATACAAAAATAAATAGAAATATTATTAAAATAATGTTTAGAATAAGAACAGGTCACATCCCATCAAAAAAATTTTCTTATCTGATGAAAAAAACTGATTCACCTAATTGTGAAACGTGTGGAGTAATAGAAGACTTACATCATTTTTTAATGGAATGTGAGCGGAACCGAGGGGCAAGGGAATTATTTATAAGGACCTATAAGATAAATATGTACAATATGGGTATTGCGCAAGGCATTCTACATGCCCCCACCTCGGATATTGCATTGAGTATGTGCAGATTAATAATAAATGTATAGATTTTAAATTAGTTATAATGGGATTGACATATTAACAAATAAAAATCCCTAAATAAATAAAGAGAAAAAAAAAAGTTGTTATTTATTATTAAGTTATAAATTTTTGGAGTAAGAAATCTTTTTCTTTTAAATTAGTGGCCTTATAATAAATAGAATGTCAGCATTTCTACGTAACGTTTTCTAATTATATTTTTATTTTAGGTGAAAGGCTATCCAGACACATGGAGAAAAGAAGACGTACTAGACGCTTTGCTTGAAGCGGTTAAAGGCAAGAGTTTTATACCTTGCTTTATTGAGGTAATACAAAATACAAAAATATTTAAATGTAATAATTCAATATATAATAACAATTTGTAATTCAATATAATGCCTTGTGATGGTAGCGTTAGAGAATCTATGAAATATATATGTATAATGAAAATTCGTCTGTCTGTCTATCCGGGCTAATCTCCGGAATGGCAGAACCGATTGTAATGAAAGTTCACGAACAGATAGAGAGCAATGCCAGGAGTGATCTAGGTTATCATCATCATCATCATTACAGCTTTTCACAAGTCCACTGCTGAACATAGGCCTCCCCCAAGGAATGCCACAAAGCACGGTCCTAAGCCACCTGCATCCATCGACTTCCTACATGTCTTACCAGGTCGTCACTCCATCTAGTGAGGGGTCGCCCTACACTTCGCCTACCGGTACCAGGCTGCCTGTCGAGAACCTTTGTTCCCCATCGGTTGTCGATTATTCGAGCTATATGGCCGGCCCACTACCACTTCAGCTTACTAATGCGTTGGGCTATGTCGGTTACTCTGGTTCTACTGCGGATATCCTCATTTCTACGTTTATCACGCAGAGAAACCCCGAGCATAGCCCTCTCCATAGCTCGCTGAGCGACCTTGAGCTTCCTCATACGGCCAGCAGTGATCTCAGATCCGTAAGTCATCACTGGCAACACGCACTGGTTTTCAGGTTTTAAGATATGTCTAACGAGAAGATGTGTCGTAGTTTCCCGAACGCTGCCCAGCCGAGTTGAATCCGTCGATTTAGGCTATATCTTATAAGAAATATTGGACATATTTTTTTTAGGGAAATCCTACCCAGGTCGCATGTAGAGATGCAAACCTTTTTTTTTTACTTATTATCAGCCAGTGTTTTACCACAACCCCTTCTGATGGTTAGTGGTGATGAAGACTTGATGGTAAATGGTACTGTAAACTAACTAACTTGACAGGAATAAAAACTTATGTTAATAATTTAAATTAAAAAAATATAAAAAAGCCCCAAAACAAAAAGAACTGGTGAGCTTCAAACAGCTCAACAAATTTTCTTCAGACATGGCGGTTCAAATCGGTTCATCCGTTCAAAAGCTATGCCACAGATAGACACACAGATACACAGAAACACACTACACATATACGAGGGCGGCACTAAAAATTTCGGGAGTCAAGGAAGTGCCACCACATTACTATTTAAAAATGTATTTATTGCTTTTCGAAGTATTCTCCGCGAAATTTGACACATTTTTCCATACGATGGAACCAATTATTGAAGCAACCATTCCATTCGGAAGTTGGGGTCTCCAAAATGGCCGTTTTGTAGGCGTCCACAGCTTCTTCAGGTGGTGAAAATCTCTGTCCACGCAATTTATTCTTTATTTTAGGGAAAGTATAGAAATCATTAGGGCTTAGGTCGGGGCTGTACGGCGGATGGTCTAATAATTCTATGTTTTTTTGCTCAAAAAACTCTTTTGTTCTGTGTGCGGTGTGAGAACTCGCATTGTTGTGATGGAGGATGATGCGGCGGTTGCAGTTCTCTTTACGGAGTTCAGAAACGACCTGTGGCAAACAAATGCTAGCATACCATTCTGCATTAACCGTTCTTTGTCCCTCAAGAGGAATAGTCGTAACATTGCCGGTTTTGGAGACAAACGTGGCCACCATTTTTTTTGCAACACTCCGTGAACGAACAATTTTTGTTGGCTTTAACTCATTTTCGAACACCCAAACTCGTTTTCGACTGGTTTTTTGTTTCGGGTTCGTACGCGTATATCCAGGATTCGTCACCTGATACGATGTTGTATACAGCATTTGAGGATCCTGCGTGGAATCTTTCGAGAGTTCTGACGCACCAAGTAACGTGAGCCGCTTTTTGCTCTTCACAGAGCGAATACGGTATCCATCGGGATAACAACTTTTTTACACCTAATTGTTCATGCAAGATTATTTGTATTTAACTCATGCCAATGTCTAAAGTTGCCTGAATTACGCGGTATGTCACATGTCGATCTTCCTCAATCAGCTTACGCACAGCATCAACGTTTTCTTGGGTGACTGCAGTTTTTGGACGACCTTGACGGGGATCGTCACTGAGCTTGACACGTCCACGTTAAAATTCAGCAAAGCAGCGATAAATTGTGGTTTTGGATGGGGCTTCATCACCAAATGCAGAAATCATCCGGTCAACACACTGTTTTTGTGTTAAACCACTTCGAAAGTCATAATAAATCATCGCTCTTGAATTTTCTCGAGTCAATTCCATTTTCTCAACGGCTAAACAAGTTTGACAAAACCTTGTGACAAGACCGAGAATCTTTTTTTTAAATAAATAAATGGTATTCGATTTTTAAAACCAAGGGGTTTTCATTTAAAAAGATTTTAATATGACAGGAACAGTGGAAATATTCCATTCCCGATACTTTTAGTGCAGCCTATGTAACACCCCTATGTTTTCGTCGGGGATTAAAAATCATCATCAACAACTACTAGGAGTCTACTGATGGACAGGGGCTTCTCCCGTATTAAGAGAATTTGCGTGTACGTAACCTGTGTAAGTATATCCACTACCCCATATCGTTCCGCGGGTGTCGTAAGAGGCGACAGAGGGAAACAAACCAGGAGATGGGCAGCGGCGTCTTCCTAATAACGATTAAAAATAAAAAAAACTGCGATAGCCAACCCGCTTGGCAAAAATAGAATAGAATAATTTTTATTCAATATGGATTACAATACATAATACTTATTGAAAGTCATTTTTAGGGTTCCGTAGCCAAATGGCAAAAAACGGAACCCTTTATGGATTCGTCATGTCTGTCTGCCTGTCTGTCCGTCCGTATGTCACTGCCATTTTTTTCCGAAACTATAAGAAATATGTTGTGAAACTTGGTAAGTAGATGTATTCTGTGAACCGCATTAAGATTTTCACACAAAAATAGAAAAACAACAATAAATTTTGGGGCTTCCCCATACTAATTATGATACTTGCCTCCTACGGAACCCTTTATGGGCGAGTCCGACTCGCACTTAGTCGCTTTTTTACTTTTACCACTGGTTCCAGCGGGACTTTATTTTTTAAATAAAAACACAATTTACAATATAATATTTGATACAATTATTATGAAAACATTTAGAAACAGCATGGTAGCGATCACCTCATTCCCAGGGGTTATTACGAGTATCAGCCGTGTACTCTTTAGTGGTATAATAACAATGTTTGGTTAGTAAATAATTTAAATCTTTTGATAGAAAAGGTCTGCATATTTTCTGGGACTTTGTTGTAAAAGCGTATACTTTGCCCCATGAAGGAGTTACTGACTCTTTGGAGTGGAGTAACTAGTATAACTAACTTGTGCTTGTTTCCACTATAATAATTAGTGACCGACCGAAGATTCGGTTTGGGTAAGTTTCGGCAAAAAAATCTAGTTTCGGTAATAGTTTCGGTTTCGGCAAAAAATCTGTAGAACCTTCGGCGGCGCCGAAATTCAGTGTTCGTGGATTATCGTGCGTCGTTCGGACGAGTTCTTGAGCGAGTGTTGGTGACGTGACTCGTGTTATTATATACACGAGTCACGTTACGTCATAATTATACAGAAACAGAAATTTTTTATTCAATATAGATTGTAAATAATACTTATATAAAGTCACTCTATTGTTTAACTACCACTGGTTCGAAAAAAAACCTCTGTCCTTGGAAGAACCAGTAAGAAAACCAGCGGGACTTTTTTTTTAAATGACAGCTTACATTCAGATGTGTAGCGTGGACTAATATAAACGTGGGCGAAGTTGCATCAGCGAAGCTCCTTTTCTTTCGTCCCAAGGATCTACCCAATAGATCTATCCTACCAAACATACTTTGACATACGAGGGCGACACTGAAAGTTTTTAGAACTGGCCACTTGTAAACGATTTAATAAAAAATCAGTTCAAATTTTGAAAATGGAACTCTTTGCCAATATTATTGTGTATGTATTTTATTAATTTGTCATTTGTTTACGATTTGGCGGCAAATTGAAAATTCTCTGTGTCACGTCAGCATGAGTTTAACGCGAGAAAATTTTCGTACAATGAGTTTTTATGAATTGCGATGTCATTTAAATCAACAAGAAAGTTATGATAGACTTCGATTGGCCTTTCACGATGAAGCCCCATGTCGTGCCACTGTTTACAACTGGTTTAATGAGTTTAAACGTGGTCGCACTAATCTCACCGATGATCTGCGTGAGGGACTGCATTCTACGGCGACGACTAAAGATAACATCAGTGTTCTGCGACGTATGATAGAGACTGACATAAGAGTGACTTATCAGCAGATTCGGACAAGCTTAGGCATCGGTATGAGTCCAGTGCACAAAATCCTCCACGAACATTTAGCGGTCAGGAAGCTTTGTGCCCGGTGGATACCTCATAATTTGACAGAGGCCCAAACACTCCGTCATGTTGATTGGTGTCGTGAAATGGTTCAAAGATTGAACGGGGGTGACTCAAATGCTGTGTTCGACATACTTACGGGCGACGTAAGCTGAATGTATTGTTATGATCCTGAAACTAATAGACAGTCTGCTGTCTGGGTGTTTCCTTCCGAGGAGTTGCCAACTAAACTGAAGTGAGGTCGAAGCGTGGGTAAAAAGATGGTGGCCTCGTTCTTCGGAAGGATAGGTCATTATGCAACAATTGTTTTATAGGATCGAAAAACAGTTACTGCAGAATGGTACACTAACAATTGTTTGTCACTTGTCTTGGAAAAAGTTCGGGAGAAACGACCTCGCGGTAGGATCCTCCTTCACCACGACAACGCCTTGACGCACACCGCCAAGCAATCGACTACATGGCAACGTCAGACGTGGAATTACTGGGTCACTTGCCCTATAGCACCGACCTTGCAATTTTATTTATTTCCAAAACAAAAGAAAAACTTCGAGGACAACATTTTATGGACGCCGAAGAAGCAGTGGCTGCGTTTCAAAATGCCATCAAAGAGACCCCTAAGGACGTGTAGGCAAAGTGCTTTTCTCAGTGGTACCATCAGATGCAGCGACCTATTAATGTAAATGGACACAATTTTGAAAAGATATTTTAAAACTAATAACTTGCTAGTTTGTATAATTTTTAATTTTCTAAGAACTTTCAGTGTCGCCCTCGTACCTACTCATATCTATTAATTCCTGACAAGTCTCGTATTCCGTCAATGTAACAATCGCTGTCTTTGAAGGTAGTTACAACGGCCTCGCAGTCACCTTTATGAGGAGCTTCTTGCGAGGCCCCAAACAAAAACACTTAAATTTAAGGCTTTCTTTTTCGAGCGTAAAAGTGGTCAAATTAATTAATCATCTGTGGTAAAGTCTGGGGGCATCGCATTTTAGGGGGCCTCGTGAGGCCCTTTTAAGTGCGAGGCCGTGGGCGAGGGCCCACTTCGCCCATGCTTAGCTATGCCACTCTTAAAATCATATATGTAACACAACGACACAAAACAAATTATAAATAGCTTGGTAGTGATCACCTCATTCCCAGGGGTTATTATCATCCATAAATTTCTTAATATTATAATAACCCTTTTTATACAAACTTAGTTTATTAAAGTTTTTGAACTTTGAGAAGCTTTTGTATATTTTCTGGGATTTTGTTAAGTTGTGTAAGTGTGTGAGTGTGATATATTAAGTTAATGCTCTCATTGAATAATATTAACAATATTGTGAACACAATATAATATGCTCTCAATTAGCGAGTAACTTTTTATGGGTGTAAGTGTTGATTTTTCTACAAAATTCACTTAAAAAGGTATTTCTTAACGTTAAATTGTTGATTCTTACTTTAAAATAAATAAATATATTGCTACATGACTATTACAATAAATGTTTTTCATTAACGTGCATTACCTATCTGTACATATGTATAAAAATATACCATATTTCAGTATACAATAAAAAAATTAACATGTCTAAATAAGTTTCGGTTTCGGCCGAAACTGACACCCAGACCGAAGGTTCGTTTTCGGTTTCGGTTGAAAGTCCTGTTTCGATCGGATACTAATAATAATACCTTACGATGTAGTTGTCTAGGGTCACAACATTCACTTACCACCAGGTGAACTGTGTGCTCGTTTGTTACTCAATTTCTATATATGCAAATTTTAAAATAATATATACAATTTATTGTAAACATCACTTATATTGTTAAATTTTACCTAAGCTTAAACGGAGTTTGTCTTACATTGCTTACGAGCACACTCGTTTGTCACCATCATTCTACAAAAGAATGCGATAAAATCCTTAAAATTAGTTACATTCGACATATACATAATATGTTTTGTTTCAGTTCACACCACACGAATGCAAATTCCTAGTGATCAGATGTCGACCAGCGCTCATCGCTATACACAAGCTAGGTTTCTGCGTACGCAAAGATGACGTCGTTTTGACCATAACCATATCTACAATTGATTTGACGTTGAAACTCATTGACTTCCAGCCTAAACTGATACTGCGGAAGCGGTTGGCCATGGGCTATGATAGCGAAAGGAAACTAAGTTTGAAAGAGTTTACACTGCAATGGGGTAAGTTGGTCGGTCAATGACGTGTAGTGGAAAAAAATCACTTTCCACAATCGTTGACGTCAATAATGATTTCTTATATTTACATATACGAATACCCCCCCCCCCCCTCCCGTAACCTTGGGTGCTGCAAAAATAGTCCTTTTTAAAGCAAATCAAACCAACCGCGGATCAAATAAGTAACTTTAGGCGTGGAAGGAAAATGGTAGATCAGGGCCAGGCGAGATGTTTAGCACTGAGAGCGGCCAATGTTCCATTAAGTGCGGATCCTATTTTATATATAATTAAAGTCATTCGAAATCTTTGATAGCGTAACTTAAACTTCGGTTATGGTTTGGTTGGTTTACCCCATTGTGGGACAAGGACAGCGTCGCTATAATTAATTATTCATTTGATTATTTTACTTGTAGAAAGTGATTTTTATTACATATTGCAACTGTTTCGATGTAAGAATATACAGTACCTCTATAGTCTGAGGAGGCCTATGTTCAGCAGTGGACTTTTATAGGCTGTACTGGATAAATGAAAATTACAAGAGATTATTTTTTTTATACTTTTGTTTTCAAGAAAAAAATGACTGCTTTAATATCAAAAGTAGTATCTTATAGAAACGGAAACTTTTTTATTCAATATAGATTATAAATAATACTTATTGAAAGTCACTCTTTTGTTTAAATACCACTGGTTCGAAAAAAACCTCTGTCCTGGGAAGAACCTGCAAGAAACCAACCGGGACTTTTTATTAAATAACAGCTTACAATCATATTTACACAATTAACAACACAAAAAATTTGAAATAGCTTGGTAGCGATCACCTCATTTTCAAGGGTTATTATCATCCATAAATTCCTTAATATTATAATAACCTTTTTTATACAAACTTAGTTTAATAAAGTTTTTGAACTTTGAGCAGTAGTCAAATTTTGTATATTTTATGGAATTTTGTTTGTACATACATTTTCATACATATTCGAGCTCATTTAGTAACTTTAAAAAGTATAATAATCGTTACCCTTGTTCCACCGATGGGCGCAGCTCAAGAATAGGATTGGTTTTACTTGTAACTTTATTTATCTAAAAAAATACAACTTAAGCAGAACAAATTGGTAACAGTTTAAATGAAAATGATTTTTTTATTATAATATTATATTCCTAAAGGAACTCCATCCGCGACTGGTCGTTGTTGCTGGTGATAAGAGGGCTGGTTCTTTTCTCGCTCAAAGGCTAAGTATAGCCATTCAGCTGACGGGAAACGCAGCCCGCATTCTTAGCACGATACCGCGAGAAGTAGGACTGTACCTATGATTATTAAGTTACTAGTTTTAGTTTTTTTCTTTATTATAGTTTTTAGTATTCTATATATATTTTATAGGATAGCGTGATAAACGAGCACACAGCCTACCTCATGGTAAGTGGTTGCTGTGACCCATAGACATCTACATTTATCCTCAATAAATAAACGCCTGCAGTAGTATCACAATTATCCTCAATAATTGTGATATTAGTGCAGGCGTGCCGCAGGGCGGCGTGTTGTCACCTTTACTCTTTTCCATTTTCATTAATTCAATCACTCATAAAATATCTTCTCTCTACCACATATATGCGGATGATGTCCAGATTTACACCCAGTCAACTCTTGAGAATTTGCCGAATGCAATCGCTACATTAAATAAGAATCTAAATTTTATTCACGAGTGGAGTAAATCATATGGCCTAAATGTTAATCCTAAAAAGTCTCAGGCTATCATTATTGGTAGCCAGAGCTTTATCTCAAGAATTGACTGGTTTTCTGTACCACCTATCGTATTCGATGGAGTTGTTATCCCTTACTTTGACAATGTCAAAAATCTTGGTATTTATATTGATAATTCCTTAAATTGGATACGCCAACTGAATGAGGTAAGTAAGAAAACTTTTGTCGCTCTTTGTTCACTGCGTCGCCTTCGATCATTTCTTCCCATTCCTACAAAAATTATGCTCGCACAGTCTCTTCTCCTTCCGATTCTCGACTATGCTGACGCAAGCTATGTAGACATAACTGAGGACCAGCTAAATAAGCTTGAGAGACTTCAAAATACTAGTATTCGGTCATATTTGGATTGCGCAAATTTGACCATATTTCCCAATTTCGCTCACGTCTCAAATGGTTACCTATCCGACTTCGCCGGAACATGCATATACTTTCTATTCTGTACTGTGTATTATTTCACCCTTCTACTCCTCCCTATCTAAAGGAGAAGTTTAATTTTATGGAGCTTCCAGGGGAACCTTTACGCTCTTCTAGAAAATTCATTTTAAGTGTGCCAACTCACAATACATCATTTTTCAATAAATCTTTTACTGTCCAGTCTATTAAGCTCTGGAATGCCCTACCTCTGCATATACGTGAGGCACAAACTATTATTATCTTTAAGCAGTTACTTAAAGAGCATTACTTGTCTCAGTCGTTCGGACACCGTTAGGATAGATTGTGTGATTATGTATTTATTGTATCTATCAGCCTTATATTATTGTTTGAGGAATTTTGTATATATATATATATATATATATATATATATATATATATATATATATATATATATATATATATATGTATATTGATATATATGTGTTGTGTGTATATTTATGTATATATGTTTATATATATGTGTATATGTATGTATATGTATATATTATATGTTTTACTTTATCTTTTAGATATCTTTTTTTTTTGCATTTATTATTTGTATATTTATATTGCACCACCTACCACCTACTTATTCATTGTTTGTATTACTTTACACCTTTGGTTGCCTGGAAGAGATCGCTATGTAGCGATAAGGCCGCCAAATTGTACATATTATAATCTGATTTTTGTTATTATACATTTGTATATTTGTTCGTGGTGTACAATAAAAGTATATTCATTCATTCATTCATAATCAAAATGCAGATCGTCCTCACCCATGAGGACTGAGATGGAATGCCCCTTTTCCAGTAAAATGTGTCTCTGGTTCTCTACGCTCACTATACGAAACACAGCAGTGTCAAGCTGTCATTTTACGCTGGTATTCTGTGAGAGCGTGGTCCTTCCCCGGTCGAGCCGACCCGTTCGTGCTACAACTATACTACTAATATAGCTGCAGCATGGCTTTACCACGTATGAAATATACGTATATAATAAAATATTGTGTAATATGAATATCTAATATTATTGAAATTGTAAATATATATGTACTACGAAGAAAATAAAGAGAGCTTGCAAGATTGTATAATATAATTAAAAAGTTAGCACGTAAGTCGAAGCAAAGTCTCAGTTTGATAGCCCTAATCATAACATATTGTACCAGTCTCTTCTTCAATACCTCAATTAATAAAAATTAAATTAATCTTTTAGATGTAAGCCACTTTATATACTTCCCGCTGAACCGATTAAACAACCAAGCGGACATTGTGGGCCTGCAGAGTTCCGTTGAATGGAAGTATTTGACCGATCTCGACCTGTCTAACAATAGACTTACGTGAGTTTTCTTTTTTAATATAAAAATACCATCGTAATCGATTACCGACAGTAGAGGGCACTTACGACTTACGTTTTAAATACTTTTAAGTACATCTGTATTAAAAAAGTGAAGAAAAAGTTATAGTTTATATAAGTCCTACAACTGGGCATAGAATACCTCTGATTTCTGTGAGAGTTATATGTGTATTTACATGTGCTCGAATTATTTTATTTCTAGACATGCATGAGGAAGCCCCTCACGATGTTATTCTAAAATGCTGATTCACCACGCGAGCACGTGGTGAATCAGCATTTTATCTAAATTGACAATTTCATTGATACCGGCAGGAATCCGGGTTGCTCGCTTACTGTGAATCCCTCGTATATGCTTTTAAATAAGAGAGAGAGAGAGAGAGAGAGAGAGAGAGAGAGAGAAAGCGAGAGAGAGACGACTTTTTAGTCACAGTTATATAACTGTGACTAAAAAGTCGTCTCTCAGAAGACAATATTGGTGCGTATGTGGAATTTCTATAATTATTGCCATAATTATCGCCAAAAATTAAATAAAAAACGAACTTATAGTTCACCTTATGATAAGTGGCTACTGCAGTCCATGGACAACTTTTTTTTATAGGATAGGGTGACAAACGAGCAAACAGTCCACCTGATGGTAAGTCGCTGCTGTGGCCCGTTTGCTCGTTTACGAATCAAAATGCAGATGCGTTGTCACCCGTGAGGACTAAGATGGCCTCTTTTCCAGTAGAAAGGGTCTCCGGCACCATACGAAACACAGCAGTTTTAAGGTGCTATTTTACGCTGGTATTCTGTGAGAGCATGGTTCTTCCCTGGTCGAGCCGACCTATTCGTGTTACAACTATACTACTAATATAGCTGCAGCATGGCTCTACCACGTATAAGCAGTAGGTCCTACCACGTAGTTAACCTGTATTGTTTAGAATTTTATGTACTTAACTATATCATTAATTGCAGTTCCTTGGATGGCTTTGATCTGCAGCATACAACACCGAAGCTACAAAATTTAGATCTTTCGAATAATTACTTCGAAAAAATCACACCTATACTACAATGCCGGGAGCTTCCCCTAAAAGTACTCAAGTTAGAGGGGAACCCTCTTTGCACCGACTATACAGACCCGCAGTATTATGTTAAAGTTTTGAAAATGATATTTCCAATGTTGAGAGAAATCGTAAGTACATTAATAAAATGTTTTTTTACAGTTGGAAGCGGCAAACTTGAGTTCGTTAGGAGTAATTCATTATGTTTTAAATTCAATTACATTGCACGATCCGTAGGTAAAAAAAATGTTCACGAAGCGTCACTTGCTTTGATAATGTGCGCGGAAGATGTCGTCGATTCAAGTCGTACTTTTAGAAGATTCACATACATTTCTCGTTCAAATGCGTTGTACGGTGCTAAAATATTAAGTATTGAACATGCTTAATCTTTTAAGCTTCTTTCATTGCCAGTGAACAACATTCAATGACATTAAATGATTTACTTTTATGTTTTCATGGTGTTTTTTTTATAGGATAGGGTGACAAACGAGCACACAATCCAACCTGATGGTAAGTGGCTGCTGTGGCCCATAGACATCTACATCTATCCTCGTTTGCAAATCAAAATGCAGATGCACTTGCCACCTGTGAGGACTAACATGGAATGCCTCTCTTCCAGTAAATAGGGTCTCCGGTTCTCTACACTCACCATACGAAACACAGCAGTTTGAACTACAACTATACTACTAATATAGCTGCAGCATGGCTATACCACGTAAAAACAATTAAATATATAATAATAATTGCGTATTAATTTTATTTGTGCTTATCATAGGGTTATTATTATTATACTTATTATAGTGTTATTTTTAGGATGGCATGCCACTTGTGTTGAAAGGCGAACTGCCTCTAGTGAACAAGAACTTCTGTCCAGATTATGCAAACGATTTCGTTGAGAAATTCCTAGGGATATACTTCCCTATTATAGATAGTCCGCCGGACGACAGGGCAGTAATTGAGGACATGTACGCCGAGGATGCACTTTTGACTATCACATACAGACAGAAATTATGTAAGTATAACTATTTTTGATCAGGAGGAAATTCATAACGAAAGTTTTTAGCGCTGCTGCTGATACTATCACTGATGTGGCGCTTCAGGGAATGGAGCTATTTATTTATCATCTGTGGTACCCATCGGAAGCATAATTTATTACGTGGTAGAGCCATGCTGCAGCTATATTAGTAGTATAGTTGTAGCACGAATGAGTCGGCTCGACCGGGGAAGGACCACGCTCTCACAGAATACCAGCGTACAATAGCAGCTTATCACTGCTCTATTTCGTATGGTGAGCGTAGAGAACCGAAGACCCATTTTACTGGAAAAGAGGCATTTCATCTTAGTTCTCACGGGTGACGACGCATTTGCATTTTGATTCTAAATTGAGGATAAATGTAGATATTTATGGGTCACAGTAACCACTTGCCATCAGGTGGACTGTGTGCTCGTTTGTCACCCTATCCTATAAAAAAAGCAGATCTCAGCCTTGGTTTGATCGCTCCTGTAAGACTGCATTATGCAGTAAGCAGGAGTGTTTTCAGGCCTAGGCTGACGCTTCAGCAGCTCGCGATATAAACACCAGCATCCTTAAAAAGAACTATAACTTTTTTTTTATAGGATAAGGGTGACAAACGAGCACACAGTCCACCTGATGGTAAGTGGTTGCTGCGGCCCATAGACATCTACATCTATCCTCTATTACAAATCAAAATGTAGATGCGTTGTCACCCGTGAGGACTAAGATGGAATGCCTCATTTCCAGTAAAAAGGGCCTCCGGCCACCTGCACTCACCGAGCGAAACGCAGAGGTAAACCTCTACTTCACGCTGGTTTTCTGTGAGGTCGTGGTACCACCCCGGTTCGAGCCGGCCCATCCGTGCGACAGCAAAAGCTGCCGCGTGGCTCTACCACTGTTAATCGCCTTCAGGTCTTCCAAAAGAGTTAATGCCAAGCCAAAGTATGAGCACATTGACAGAATTGGCGAGAAATTGGTTCGCCTTCCTTCAGGAATCCATACATTATGGTCTCTCGCCTAGGCTGTCCAAGGGAATTTCTGTAAGCCGTCACTTCCATTTCTGCACAGGGAAAACGACTCACTGACCCACGCCGCAAAAGAGAAAGCCGACTTTTTAGGCTCCCTTTTTGCGTCCAACTCGACACTCGATGACTGGAGGAACACACCGACGACCATCCCGCGGTGTGAGTGCTCTATGATTGATGTGCGATTCACACGGTGCTCAGTACGCAAAACACGCCTCTCTATAGACATCTACAAGTCGAGTGAGCCTAACGGAATCCACCCAATTGTGCTGCGGACGTGTGCTCCAGAGTTGGCACCGGTTCTAGCGCATCTTTTCCGGTACTTCTACTCCCTAGGCGTATTCCCAAATTCATGGAAGACAGCTTTCTTGCATCCGATACCTAAAATAGGTAACCGCTCTGATCCGTCCAAGTACAAACCTTGTTCTCGAAAATAATTGAATCTATTGTAACTGCCAGCTTATGTGGTACCTTGAGGAACACCAGCTGATTAGTGACCGCCGCACATATCGATGGGCGCAGGCGGTCGACTCGGCGGGGGAGGGAGACTGGCGGTTAGTTTGGACATAGCGAAGGCCTTCAATCGGGTTTGGCACAAAGCGCTTCTTACGAAGCTTCCTTCCTATGGGCTTCCCGAGAAATTGTGCAATTGGATCACCAGTTTTCCGGCAGATCGGAGCATCAAGGTCGTATTATAAATGCATGCTTCGATTACAAGCCTATTAATGCTGGTGTTCCGCAAGTCTGCGTGCTATCACCGACGCTGTTTCTTCTGCATATCAATGACATGTTGCAACCCGGTAACATTCATTGCTATGCGGACAATAGCACTGGTGATGCTTTATACACTGGCCGTGCCAATCTTTTCTTGGGAAAACGTCGCCGAGTACCGGAACAAACGTGTGTCTGAGTCGAATCTTTGTTGAACAAAGTCTCGAGTTGGGGACGACTAAATCTTGTCCAGTTCAATCCCTATAAGACACAAGTTTGCGCGTTTACCGCTAAAAAGAACCCCTTTGTCGTATCTCCTCAGTTCCAAGGCACTCCCCTTCTTGCCTCAGCCAGTATGGGTATCCTCGGAGTCGACATATCGAGTTACGTGCAGTTTCGTGGTGACTTGGAAGGGAAGGCCAAATTGGCCTCTAAAAAGCTTGGCGTGCTCAGCAGAGCGAGACAGTATTGCATGCCGGTACACCGCCTGCAATTTTACAACACGCAGGTTCGGCCTCACATGAAATACTGTTCCCATCTCTGGGCTGGGGCTCCAGTGCCAGCTCCTTCCATTTGATCGCATCCAGCGCAGGGCGGTTAGAACGAGCTCTTTCCGGTCGGCTTGACTCACTGGTGCTGCGAAGAGATGTTGAATCTCTGCGTATTCTATCGCATCTCCCACGGGAAATGCTCTGAGGAATTATTTGGACTAATTCCAGCCGCTCAATATCACCATCACACATCGCGAAAAAGCTCGAGATACCATCCATACCATCCGGATGGTTGGCGGTCCATTACTGTGCGATTTACAAGATGTTTTCTTCCTCGCACAACTTCCTTGTGGAATCGAATAACACCAGCGATTTTTCCAGACCAATACAACTTAGGGACCTTCAAAAAAGGAGCCTACTCTTTTTAATAGGCCTGCAACGCATCTGCAATTCCCCTGGTGCTGCAGCTGTTCATGGGCGGCGGTAGTCACTTACCATCAGATGAGCCGCATGCTCGTTTGCTCCTTCTCATATAAAAAAATAACTGGTTGAGTGCGTGTCGGGCCACGCACAATCTAGTAGCCCTACCTGGGTTACGTAGTTGCCCGATATGTAAACCAAGAGTGTGACGAATGAAACTATATGAGATATATATGATTGTAAGAAAGATCCTCCTTGATTATCCCGCAAATGAAGAAATAAAGCTATAGTTGTACACGCTCCTAGTTGCCCCGACAAAGGTAGACCATACAGGGGCCCATACAGCTGTAGATTCGACGGACAACTAAAGGTGGGGCTCAAAATGCCTGTAGAGAAATGTTCTATCACAATAAACTATATGGAAAATGTTGTATCCTACTACAATTAAAGGGGAGGCTAATCAAATAGATATTACTTACCTGTATGTGCGGCGACTGCTGTCTCAGGGCTCGGTCAGGCCGTAGGTGTGTATGTGTTGAGTATAGTGGTGGTTTGTGGTGTTAGTGGTGATAGACCTGCCGGGACCTTCGAAGTCGGCAGCAGCCCGGACTTCGGCGCCGCTCCAAATTGTGGTAATCTCCCGCGGCGTCACCCACCGTCACTTTCTTCCTTCTTCATTAGGACAGTCTATTAACTATACTTCCAGACGCCACTAACACTAAACTAAAGCGTAACACACCTCTAATACCGAAAACGTATCCGAACTATATTAAAGGCCACTCGAGCAAATTAATATTTTCAAATGCACTTATCTGCTAGCAAATTAGAATAACCAAATTCGAGGTAAATTAGGCGCTCATAACACGCAATTCAGACTTTGATCGCAGTCAAGGTTAACTTCCTAACAATTTGTCAGCCCGGCAAAGAAACCTTCGTCGTGTCAACATCTGCTAACAAAACCGACACCAAAAATTGAGGTTTCCTGGGCGACTTTAAAACGTGCTCTCGCTAGCACTGTTTCTAGCAACTCTGTTACACTCACGTTCTGACCTCGCGCCCTTCTACCCGACGACGCACGGAAGTGGGGCCAAGGTGACCTTTACAAGTCAGCGGGCGAAACGAGTGCGAATGCAAATTTCAAAAGTTAATTGTTTGGCCTAAACAATAGTAGTAATGCATATAAGTCGTTTTCTTCATAATTTTTTTTATTTTTAACAGATCACCATAACATTACACAGTTATAATACAGCTACGTCTTTTATATGGAGTTGTAACGAAGTTTCTACTAATCCAAGTGCATTTTATAAGTTGGTCGACTATTACTCGTTAACTTCTTAATTCTACTTAACTGTGATAGTTTTCCTTTTAACTTCGTTATATATACTACTATTATCGTGTACACTTTTCACATTTCCAAAAACAGCAGTTTAGTTGGTAGAGGGCTGGAGGGGACACATGACTCTAATGAAAAACATCACTTTAAAGCTAAATATTTCGCAAACGCAAACCCTAAATCGAAAAGATGTTGTACCACACCGCCAGTGTTTTTGAAAGACCTATCCAACGATACCCCACATGATGGAATAGACGGGTAAAAAAAATCATTCTCTATTAACTTGTATGGGAGGTACCTAAAATAAAAATGTTTTTTAAGATTTTGTTTCACAGTTTACTAGCCGTGATGAATATCTATAGCTATGCCAAATTACAGATTTGTAGCACCTAAGGTCTCTGAACAATACCACGGACGGACGGACGAACGGACGTACATGGCGAAACTATAAGGGTTCCTTGTTATGTAAATACGAAACCCACACAAAGAACGAGAGTAACCGACATAACCCAACAGATTAGTAAACTGAAGTGGCAATAGGTCGGCCATATAGTTCGAAGAACTGACCACCGATGGGGAAGAAAGGTTCTCGAGTGGCAGCCTCTTACTCGCAAGCGAAGTGTAGGGCGACCCCCCACTAGATGGAGACGACCTGGTAAGACATGCAGGAAGTCGATGGATGCAGGTGGCTAAAGCAAGTAATTTCCTGTTCTTCAATGCAGGAAATGTCCAGAAAGCCATGTCCCTCGAAAGTTTCTTACGCCGAAGGCACATCAGTGTTAAATTTTTGCCCTCAGGTCTTACCTCGATATATCGTCTGTTCCGGAACTTATTCCTGCACAGTCGAGACATGTCAAAAAATATAAAGGACTTTGTGAGAACGCCGAAAAATATAACGAAGCTGTTACAGAAATGGCCGAGTTTGGAGCACGATCCGACAACCTTCACCGTTGACGTCATGTGGCATACAGTACGTTAATTCACTTTACACCATTTAATGATTGGTTTGATGTTACGGATTTAGGATTGTACTAATGCCGGGTTTCTATATTCAAAAGCGCTTCGTTTTCTTTTACGAGCCGTTTTGCATTAAATGAAGTGCACGAAAACCCCTTATCTAAAATACCACTTCAATTATTTATGAACCGTTTTTTTTAGTGATCCTAACTAGCTGAATTTTTAGTTTGTAATATAAACTGTTTTACGTATGAATATAGTAATCAGGCATAAAGTGTACGTGCTATCGCGAAGGCACTCACTGATCCAAACCTACAGACATAACCATATTCGTTCATAAATTTCTCTTGAAAATAAACGTTAAACTCGGTACAGCTTTGGAAGAAGAAACTGGTGAATACGATAGAATAGAATAGAATAGAATATTTTTTATTCAATATACATTACATGTGTAATTCTTATTGAAAGTCATTTTTTACTTTACCACTGGTTCGAAAAAAACCCTCTGTCTTGGGAAAAACCAGCAAGAAACCCAGCGGGACTTTTTTTTAAAATAAATTTTACAATATAAATGATTACGAACTATTTACAAAATTTATTTTAGAAACTGCTTGGAAGCGATCACTTCATTCCCAGGGGTTATTATCAACCATGTATTCATTTATACTATAATAACCCTTTTTATACAGTTTCAGCTTAATAAAACATTTAAACTTGGTAATAGAGAGAACCTGTACACTTTCCGGGACCTTGTTGTAATAGCGTATACATTGCCCCAAGAATGAATTACTGACTCTGTGGAGTCGAGAAACTGGTATCACTATATAATTATCTGGTATCGCGATATAATTTCATAGCTATAATCATAATTAGTCGAAGCTACAGATATCTCTGTCGGTTCTCTAGATTTATTGTTCGGCTACTGCGCGACAATAATGGATCTGAGAAAAACCTATTTTTTTAATGTCTAGCCGCTGAGATGTCGCTTAAAAAAATTTAATTAAAAAAAATTGTTAAAAAATCAGAAATTCTCTAAAGAAATTTAAAAGAAAAACACCTTATGTGACTTCACTAGACGTGAAAGCTTTATAAAACTAAACTTAGAGAGAACGAAACGAATTCAAAGTATCACAAGTAGCATAATTGTAGTGTATGTAATTAAAATATAATATAAATAAATTTATAATAAACACTGTATACTGCATTCTATCTTCATTCTCTCGCAGGCTAAATCCTATAGATGTATATGTTTGTCTCTTTTTAGTGTCTATGTTTCGTTTCATCGAATTTCCAACCACAACGATCCTAAAGAAGTTTTCGCTTCCAGAGGCTGATAGCCAGGTTCATACTTAACAAACTTTCCCCTAACAGGAAACTTCAACAATTCTTCGAATAAATGGTATAGTCAAAATAACATCAGACAGCCTAGCAGTGGACGAACATATGCTGGCCTTCACTAGAACTATCCTGCTCCATACGGATGATGGAGTCGAGTACAAGATACGAAACGAGATGTTGTATTGGGACTATCCCACTGAGGAGTACTCTAAGAACGCTTTCAGAATCAACGTGGTAAGTTTTTATAATTATTTTATAATTTCTAGCTGCAGACTGTGACCATTGCCATTTCTCTGCACTTAGTCAATTTATGAAGGTTAGCCCTGTGTTATCAACGTAAGACCATTACGTCCAGAATGTGTCGCCGCCGTGTAGTGGCCGTCTAAGAGAATCCACTATGCCATATCATGGGTGTAGTAAGAAACGACAGAGGATATAACAAGAGATGGGCAGCATTATCTTTCTAATAACAACTTAAAAAAACTGCGGTTACCAACTTGTCAACTATGGTACTCGTGACTTTTGATAGACTGTAAAGATGATGATGAATTTTATAAGGGGCGACTATACGATGGAAAAAATTCTATGCCCACATCGGGAGAGGTTCATGTCCAGTTGTGAACTTCTGTGAGCTGACAAAGAAGGTAGATGAAGCTGCAATCATCTTGTATATTCCAATTTTTATACGTAGTAGATCCATACTGTAGCTATATTATGGTTGTAGCACGAATGGGTCGGCTCGACCGGGGAAGGACCACGCTCTCACAGAATACCAGGCGTAAAATAGCAGCTTAACGCTGCGCTGCTGTGTTTCGTATGGTGAATGTAGAGAACCGGAGGCCCTTTTTACTGGAAACGAGGCATTCCATCTTAGTCCTCACGGGTGACAACGCATCTGCATTTTGATTCGTAATACAAGATAAGTGTAGATGGCTATGGGCCACAGCAACCACTTACCATCAGGTGGACTGTGTGCTCGTTTGTCACCCTATCCTATAAAAAAATTGTGTAATACCAAACCCGTCGATGGGAAGAAGCACTGTGAGACCTCTGATTGTTTACAACCGTCTTCAAAAAAAAAGAGGTTCTCTATTCGACTGTATTTTTTTGTATGTGTGTTACCTCAGAACTTTTTTCTAGGCGAACCGATTTTGATGATTCTTTTTTTATTTGAAAGCTGGTGTTCCTCAGGTGGACCCATATAAATTTGATCAAGATCTGACCAGTAGCTTTTGAGTTATCCTTAATAATCGTATTCAATTGACTTCGACCACATTGATGATTTTCCCATTTTATTTATATTGAAGTCGGTTTTACTTTTCTTTTTTAATTTTACCACTTATGTAGTCAATCTTTCTGGAAAGGGTGACGATCACGACAAATCCTCTATACAGTGAAGGCCATTTCCGAGAGGCAAACTGAAGAAATATGTGTGTCTAAGATGTTAGGAGACCTCTGGAGAGGCAAAATAACCTATGATGCTAAAAGGAACTATAATGTCTTCCAGACCGAATTACGAGCACGGCGGCCAGTCTCAACGGAGATATGCCATCTGCGCAGGACAGGATTATAGTGCACAAGTGTATGCGCAAGCACAGATGCACTCTCTATTCCCTCACTGTCATAGTCCGATGTGACACGGCAAACACACGGACAGAAGAATTATATACAGGGCTATTTTTCAGAGTAGCCAAATTTTAAACTTAATTTCAAAAATATATAAATAATGATACACCGTTATTACAGTTTTTGAAAATACAAGTAAATAAGACTTCTACCGCTTCTACGTTTATTTGAAATTATACCAAATTGAATGTGATTTATGGGCAACAGCGTTTTTGCCTACCTATCGACCCCTACGAATGTGTGCGTGCGCAGTAAATTCAGTTAAATAATGCATTACTACGCATTTTGATTTTAAATGATAAAAAGATCAGAATTTTTGAGATTTCTTTTTATTAATTTTTCTTCTCCATTTGCCTATATTACTCACTGAACTTTCTCTGCAAATTTGGTCTGTCATTGCGAAATAACCCTGTAGGTATATAAAGATAATTTATTATATTTATACATTTAAATGTCCTATACAAGATACAGCAACATTAATTAATTAATTTACCTGCAAAGCTACAGCTAAGATATTCCCCTGGCCCTAGACCTACAGACCCTATTTGCAATTTAAATCCTGGACCTACTCATTAGTAAGATACTCCCATCTCGACGCAATTCCATTAAATACAGAAATCGCCACTGTAGATAGGTACCTATTATTTATTAATGAACATACTATGTAATTACTAAGAAATAAAAATTTAATTTTCATACATAAATTTTCTTTTTACTACAACCACTTATAAAATAAATGGAGTTGCCCTAATCTGAGAGGAAAACGGCCAAAAAAACCTTTGCAGGTATCTTTTAGCAATTGTTTTAAACACAATTGTATAAGTACCTATCTTGTAAAGATAAATAGTAAAAAAGACGCCTTTTCTAATGTATCTTTTTTTGTTTTAATAGCAGGTTAATTAATATGTACATTTTTAAAATAAAATTAATTTTTAAAACTTTTGATTGACATGTGCCAATAAAATTTAAATAAACCTTTATTGGAAATATGTTTTATTATGTAGTCTACTCTCTTTTAAGATTTACGTCTAAGTTTATCCCAGTACAATACAAGTTCAACGTTTTTTATGTTTTTATTTTCAATACATATCACTCTATATTTAAGAATTTCCAAGAATATCTTGTTAGATGTTATTATGACATCTTGCGATATCTCGCGACTAAATTGGAATAAAAAAGTGTAGTTACAGCCCATGTAAGAGGAGGCCTGTGCTCAATAGTGCGACGTACCGTGTTGGATTTCTTAAAAGGAATTGTTTTAGGGCAGGATTGTCGTTTACGTGTTTGCGAAATACATTCTTTTAATTTTACAGACATGCCAGTTTCCCCACGATGTTTTCCTTTTCCAAGCATGTGGTAAATCATATAAATTAAACTTGCAATTAACCATTTTCTATTGAAGCCGCTGGGAATCGAACCCGAGTGGTTCACGCACTGTGAAATTTACGAGTGCTTATAATACCACATTTTATATAATGTTTTTAAATTTAAAAAAAAAACCTATTTCCTGTTGGGCCCTTTTAATCTGTAATCAATGCTTGGTCAAATAATTATCATAATATTCCACAAACCATGTTTTTATTTTTCTCTTTGAAAACTGATTGGATTAACAACTAAAATAGAAAAACTACAGATCTAAAACTAGGATACAAGCTTAAATCAGTCGTTTCAAATGATTTAAGCTTCAATAAAATATGTCACTGTTGTAAATGAAAGCTACAAGAAATATTTAAATATTCACAAAGTTAAAGTCAATTTATATAATGTGAAATCTACTTGGTATATACTATAAACGGACCGCATAATGGCAGTGTAAGAATATCCACTACACTACATTGTCCCATGATGTCGTAAGAGGCGACAGAGGGAAGCCTTAGCCAACAAGACGGGAAGCAGTGTTATCCTTATAACTATTTAAAAATAAAAAAACTGCAGTTTCCAAACTGGCTGCCAAGTGTGACAACTGTGTCAAATAATCCCCTATGAGGCAATCTATGGAGGATATGGCCTATTTTAATATATGTATGTAATGGTATTTACTAGTGTTATAAAATATTACTAAGTGTGCTTATCTTGTGTTATGATTATGATAACTTAATTTCTGTATGTGGTCAAATTGTTTGACAATTTAAAAATAAATTATAACATATAAACCAATGATAACAACACACATTTGTCAAAAATATTTTATTACCTATTTCACAGGATTGTAATGTGCATAAATTGTAAATGGCTTTTAAGATATTATCTACCACATAATATATCACTTGTTTGCATATGCAAAAATATTAAGAACAAAACATCCTTTACTTCACATATCTTACATTTTTGAGAGCCTAGCCTAAGGAACTCTACTATTGTTAACATTAATAATTCAAAAAGTTTGAACAATAACCATATACCAGGTACAACAGTTCGGTTGTTGGTGTTATTTTTATATGAGATAATTTGATATGGGCATAAAGTACAAAATTGATGGCCTCATGAACAGATCTATTCACAAAAAATAATTCACTTTAATCAACTATTGGCACTATCAGTCCAAATTACATATGCTTAAATTAGGATGTGATATAAATAGAAAAAACTATTAAGGCTCTATAACCCATCTGCTAAATGATTCTCACACAGTGTCCATAGATTCTTCATTTGCTGGCTCGGTTTCCATTTCCATATCCTTTTCATCAATCCCAGAGTACTTCAGTCTCAACTTTTCATAATGTACTTGCTCCTTGGCTGATACTGAAGGTTTACATTTTGCCAGAGCTGCTCCGAAGTCTTCGAATGTCACAAAGATTTCACCTTCTAATGTTCCATTTGAAATGTGACTTGTCAATGTGTTTGTTGCTGCTGCCCTTACCAATCCAGAAAGGTCTGCCCCCGTATAGCCTTCCGTTAATTCAGCAATCACTTGTAAATCTACATCAGGCCCTAATTGTGGCTTTGTACCCTCTTTTGTTAATTTTCGAAGTATATCATACCTATCTTCTCTAGCCGGCATGCCAACATACATAACACGGTCCAATCGACCTGGTCGTAATACAGCAGGATCAATGATATCAGGACGATTTGATGCAGCCAAGACAAACACACCCTCACGGCTCTCAATACCATCCATTTCTGTGAGCAATTGATTCACAACTCTGGCAGCTCCATTGTTATCCTGTGATGTTCGTCTAGGGCATAAGGCATCGAATTCATCAAAGAATATAACACATGGGGCTGAATTCCGCGCACGTCTGAAGCATGTCCTTACAGCCCTTTCACTCTCACCCACATACATGTTTAATAATTCAGGTCCTTTCACTGATATGAAATTAACTCCAGCTTCATTAGCAACAGCTTTGGCTAATAACGTTTTCCCACACCCTGGAGGGCCACAGAGTAAGACGCCACTGGGGGCAGACAAGCCAAGTTTTTTTAGTTGTTCAGGATATTTAACTGGTGCTAACACTGCTAATTGTAAATCTTTACGAACTTGGCTTAGAGATCCCACATCATCCCATGACACATCAGGGACTGTGACAATACCTTCTCGCACTGCACAAGGCTTTGTTGTTTTTAATGCTCTTGTGAAATCTTCATGTCTTATAGAAAGGCCAGTTAATTCTTCAGCAGTATACGGCATGTTGTCTTCAAGTAGGCTAAAAACATCATTAAGAGGATTGTTAGGTACCTCCTTTGGTGTTACAATGACATGACTTTCCTCATCAGTACTTACAGGAATGTTACTATTTTCTGTTGGTTGTTCCGTTTCATCTTTAGGTGGATTTTGAACTACTTCTGTATTGTTTTCATTGTTTTCTTCACTGCTGGCAGTTGTGACTGTAGGCTCATCATTTTCTTTATCTCCGTTTGGAACAATATTAACGTCCTCGTTTGATTTTGGAGCTTCATTTAAATTAACCGTAGTTTGTACTTTTGCCTTACGGCGAATCTCTGAGAAAATTCTTTTTATGGCATAAGTACTAGCTTTGTTTACAAGTGCTTGTAAGTCAGCTCCTACAAAACCAGGAGTGATTTGAGCAAGTGCACTCATATCTACATCAGCATCTAATACTAAATTCTTGCATAAAATCTCTAGAATCTCTTTTCTAGCGTTTAATGTTGGAATACCCAATGCTATTTCCTGTTCAAGGCGACCAGCTCTTCTCAAAGCAGGATCTAAAGCATCAGGGTTATTTGTCGCAGCAAGTATTAAAACAGGAGCACTATTTTCACTTAGGCTATCCAAGCTAGCCAGTAATTGAGCTACCATGCGCTTCTCCATATCCTTCTGAGCATGAATTCTATTTCCACACACTGCATCTATTTCGTCAATGAATAAAATACAGGGTGCCACAGAAACGGCTCTCTCAAATAACTCTCTTATTCGTTCTTCAGACTCGCCTGATACACCACCGACTAACTCAGTACCACTAACTGCAATGAAAGGTAATTGCAATTTACCAGCAATAGCATGAGCTATCAATGTTTTTCCAGTTCCTGGTGGCCCATGTAATAAAGCTCCTCTGGGAGCCTTTATACCCAATTCCTTATACACCTCTGGATGTTTCATATGCAATATAAGGTCACAAATTTGCGTTATAATGTCTGACAGCCCACCCACGTCTTCAAAATTAACTTTAACATTTTTTGTTTCCCCTATATCGAATTTTTTCTTTGTTGATGAAATTTTATTTGTATCAGGCCTTCGTTTTTTATCAACCGCATTTTGAATAACTGATGTTTTGTTAGTACTTTCCGTTGCAGCGTTGTTCGAATTTTTTGAAGGTATATGTGGGGTTATCGTAATTTGATCATTGATTTTCGGTAATTTCGGCGCGGCGCTGCCGTCTTCATCGCTACTTAGTATGTCAATAGGTTCGCCAGATTTGTCGGTAGCTCTGCGGGAGGCCGCCGGTCGTTTCTTGTCTTGCATTTTATACATCGCTAATAAACGGTCGTTAAGAGCACTGTTGTTTTCATCTAATAATTCTATGTCAGATTCCTCCTCAGAACCCTCAGAAGTTGTTGCCCCGTCTAATCCGTAGCTTTGTAATACCACTTTGTACGCGCTTTCGACCATTTGACAGAATGCGTTGTCGCTTCTATTGCTGTATTCACGATATCGCTCTTTGAGAGAACGCGCCATTTGGCTGACATCGACAAATGTTTTATCCACATTTTCTGCTAAATAATTCTTCACACGCGATACTATTATCGGATCATTAAGAGTCTTTTGGCGCGTCTGATGTTTCTTCATATTTCTCAACGTCAACTCTTTTTAATTTTCGTTTTAATAAAATATCACACTGTCTCCGTCGTAACTCGCAATGTTTGACAGCGGCGTCGCCGAATCAATGGAATAGTTGCCATATTTAAACTTGGTCTAATATCTATGGACATAAAGCTTGGTAAAAAATATAATTATTCGCAGGAAAAGGGTTTTCTTTTTTAATTGGTATTTCGGATTAACATAATATGAACGAGAAATGTTTGAAAGTACGAACTGTACGTAAGTTTCATTAAAGATTAATGTTTTCTTGAATTCATGATAATTTCGAATAATGTGCTATTGATGAGTGAACTTCGAAATAAAATAAAATAATGTAATAAATTTATTTAAAACCTATCTTCCACCCGGCACTTCGTTCGCGTAGAACTTCAACAAAAAATCCTGCAGATTAATACAGTTTTCTTTAACCAAGTTACTCGAAATACCAAAAAATTACCTTAAACGCGGTTTTTTTTCTATTACGTGTAAAACAAAGTGATATAACAAAATGCATAGATTAATGATAAGTCATCGCACGCTCTGACTAGATACCGCCGGCGCTAATGTAAAATGCGGCAACAAATACTATACCGAAATCGGCGTACCCGAGGCAGCCGCGTTGCAGGCAACATGTGAGGTGAACGTACCAAATGTTTATTAAATTTTAATCATAATCCGAAGTAAAATACCAGTTTACATATTGAAACTGTGTAAAAGTTATACTACAAGAAATAAGAAAGACACTGGAATCATATACTATCATTAAGTATTATACAATTTCGAAATTTTAACATAAAATAACACAAGCCATAAATAAGTCACAAAATATCAATGACGCTATTCAGTGTTGCCATGAATGCAAAAATAAAGTTTCCTGTGGCTGAGATTTTTATATGTGAATTTATTGTTACTATATTTTATAATATAATATATTTAACTTATTATAATGTAACCTAATTCTATATTATTTAATGTTTATTTCTGTAGTATTGTTCAAATGACATAATTGCTGTTTATTAGGGTTCCTAGGAAGATAGAGCTATAGTAAAAGTTTTTCATATTGACGCGTAGAATAGAAAGCACTATTTTGATTACACCATATATATAACTATTTTTTAAATAATTTGTGAATATTAGTTAGACATGTAAATAAAAAAATTAAACTGATAAAAAGGAGGCCTTATCATTTATATGTCATTTATTCAAAAGAAAAACCTATACATTCGTTATTAATCAACTATTCATTTTTACGTATTTCTGGAGTACATTCATAACTGTGAACTTAACTACTAAGCCATAGCATAAAATAAATTTTCCCGTTAATCGGGTAATAGTTAAGCTGCTGTTAATATACAATTTTTCACGCACACTAGCATCATGCAAATTGTCTTATACACACACTACAAAATTAAGATGCCGCATTCATGGAGCTGTTACTTGCAAGGAGCGCGGTATCTAGTCAGAGCGCGCGATGACTTATCATTAATCTATGGGCAAAATGTTTTAATAAAAAATTGATGGTATATTATTTTCACATAAAAAGATGTTAAAGTTGAAGTAAAAAAATGTTAAAAATTTATTTTGCATCAGAACTATGAGAGATAGAAGATAAAGCGTAAGAACACGAAAAAGTATAGAATTGCAATCTAAAAGTTTCGGATGTAATATAGCTTAGATCACTCCTTTGTATTGTTTTCTATATGTTCGCGAAGTTTCATCACAATCGATTCAGCCATTCCAAAGATTAGCCCGGACGGCCACCAGTTTTAGAAATGGTTATTCGTGTCTCAGCATGCCAATTTATTTCCTTAATACAGACACTTCAATTTTATTTGAGGAGGACATCTATGATTTTTCTGCCACCAGGGCGGCGCCACTAGAAAGTGAAGTATAATATATTTGACAGATTTCATAGCGGGGAAGTTTAGAAAATGTAAAAGTTATTATCTCTTTCTGTACTATTAGCTATATTTTATATTAATAAGATCAAAAATAAATAAACCAAACCACAGGTATTCATAAAAGTAGAAAAATTAAAAAAAAAGTTCTAGCGACATTTGGTGAGCAGAAAATTATTAGCCCTCATTTACTTGAAATTTTTAATTTTTAATTTTCTTTGTAGGTACCTAATAAAAGATTAAATATTTCGTTGGAAACGACACCTGATTCAGCGTTGAAGGAAAATCTTACTAAAATTTTTATGAAATTGACCGACCTAGATAAGCAAAGGAGTTCACGGTAAATATATATATATATATAATATATTGTTTTACTCTTAATATTATAATTGTATACTAAAATAAAATTTCTTTTTAAGGTGTCTAGAGGAGAAAGACTGGAATCTTAAAAATGCCCTGGAGTATTTCATGGAACTACTGAAACTTAATCACATAGACCTATTGTTTACTACATCAAGCTCATGAAAACGCTGTTTGATTAGTCTATACTAATAAAAGAATAAAATCTATTTTGTTTTCTTTTCACACAAAATAATAGTTTTATTATTTTACTTTAAATAAGAATAATTTATCCCACAAGTTGTTAATGGGCATACCTTGTAAATTTGGAGTGATTTTATGACAAGATTTATACTTTATAAATATTAAAATAAAACGATTGATATCCAATTTTCATTTAATAATAAATATGAACATTTTGTTAGTAAATATTTATTTCTCCAGATATTACATACATAAAAAAGCATTCGTTTAAACAATCATTTCCAAGTGTCTAGCATATTCTATAGTTTGCTCTGCAAGTTCTGCCGAGGGTAAGACGCCAGCTGCTGCCGCGCAAGTTTCTTCTGCTGCATTGAAATGGTAGCAATTATCTGTACCGAGGACCCAATTGCGCTAAGAAAAGAAAAGACAATATTATATATTTTAAAATTAGAAACAATATCGGGCTGTGCCGAAATAAACTTAAATATTAAGATGTTTTTCAATCTATAATATACGAACAAAACAGGTATACGCTTTAAGCTAATAAATTCCACGTTGACGTTTTAATAAATGAACAATTAAATCTATCTACGTTTTTTAGTATTTAATATAAAATAAAGGAACTTTAGTACTTGTCCAGATTTACAGAGAGGAGTGGGATTCGACGCGGAAGCGGTGATCTGACGGTACCTACCGCAGGGATGGAAACGCGCGCGATGTAAATATCCAAAATCACCTGTACCACGAGCACAATATGGCGTTCTCTATTTGAGAACCCCGCATATGCTATCTGGATAGAGGAAACAATATAACAAGTGTTTGCGCTAAATGTTAAATTCTAAAACTGCATTACGAGCGCTCTCGTCCGATGGTAACAGAGGTCGCTGCCGGGCCTCTCTTCCCCGCGCGCGTTCCCCCGCTCACGCCCGGTCACCTGATGTGGCGATTAACGGGACTGGTTTTGCCGATGCGTCGAGCGCCACGACAGTAGCTCGGCGTGTGAGCCATCGTATTAGTATTGTTTTGCGACCGTTAGTAGGTTGCGCGCGCCCGGTGTTTTGATTTGATAATTTGGGTTAATTGTGCGCGTCGTTTTGCTCTGTTGAACTGCGAGGTCGCGTGCAAAAGGAAGCCTCTAATTCGTGTAGTTTTTTTGGTAGTACGTTTACGTAACGACGAGGCGTTTTTTCTTGAATTTGAGTGATTAAAGTAACTTCGTTTGCAAGTAATTTACGTCAATTTGTATAGTGATTGCATTTGCAATATTTAATTTGCTTGTGTGGCCTATTAATATCGTACGAAAGAATTTTAGCTTGTCGTGTGGAACGCTAACCTTGTGACTCGAGAGGAGACCGCGTGTGCTCGATTATAATTTGTTGCTAAGTGAAAATGGAACGTTGAACTTTGATCGACCGTTCAATAGTTGTGCCGTGTGTCACTTGTTTGATTAACGGGGATTTAGTTGAGTTTGAAGTTAATTAAATGTACAATAAAGTTGATAAACTGAAATAGTGAAATGAAGGCAAAGTTTTCAATTGGTGAACTACGACTGGAGGGAGCGCACATTTGGAGAACAGCAGCGCCTGTGGATATTCTCTCCGATTACATCGGGCCGTCAGGTTACATGTAATATACACTTTCGCACACCACTTTACATACACCTCACTTATCACTTGACTGGTACCCTGTGGTCAACCCTACCTCCGAAGATCGGTAAGTTTTGTTTGATTAGCAACCCTTATAGAATAATTGTCCAAAGGCCATTGGGCTCCACCCTTGGTTGCTCGTCGAGTGTTCCGCTGATGGGCCCCGGGATAGTCGACCTTTGACGGGGCAACTAAGGGCGTGTACAACAAGTGTTTCGATAGTGGTTATATCACATTGAAATATTTATTATTCAATTATCTCAAGATTTTTATCTATCTAGGCTCCTATAGACACTACTACTAATGTTATCAACTATCCGCTGAGTTAGATGTCGTCAGAATCTTGAAAAACTATCTAATGTGGCGCATCAGTTTAACACTGAATTTTATGAACAAAATACGTCAGAGTAGGCTGTACGTGCCTAGATTCCTTTGCCTTAACCACTCAGGCCGCCGACATTTTATTGGAAAACTTAGAGCTATGGTCAAACAAGGAATTTTTCTTAGATAAATGTTTAAAATAAAGTAGTGATTTTGCCAATTAATTTTACTATGTATTATTTTAAAATAAAAACAAACTATCAACATTTAAAATATTGAATTATTTGTATGAAGGCCAAGTGAGCGCTAGAGAAACGACGATAGCAAGACGGTGTCGATAAATAAAATGTTTTTTAGAAATTATCAATTACCTTGTAGTGGCGGTGCATGAATATCCATAACATCTCGCGGATGCCGTATGGGGAAAAGGGTTATTTTTGAATAACCGTGAACATCGCTGCGGTTACGAAAGTCACAGTGAAAAATCATCGTGACTTTGTCACGTTAGATAACTTGTAACATTAGAACGCTTATAATGTGATTTTTATATAAATATATATATACCGGTTGTTTGTGAAAAGCTCTCGAAAACGCAGACAGATGATAGTACTAAAGATACCTTTGATCGTGGGTCACAAATAAATTCGATCGGAAGGAAAAAAAACATCTTTTCACAACGTTTTATTAACTTTATTCACGCTCCATCATGTTAGTACAGCTAAATGAAACGGTAATGTCATAAAAAAAATCATGAAAATACTTAAACATAAAACCAGCAGTAGAATTACTGAATTACAATCAGCTGACCAGGGGTCAATGTACGCGTGGACGCCGAATTCGCGCGGCCCGCAGCTAGCGATGGTACCACAATACCTAATAATTTACAACACTTGTCTTAATACCTAACTTATCTACTTAATCTACTATTTTGCCACTGTGCTAGTCTCCGCCTAGCCACTTTATTCTCAGTTTAAATATACCAAATACCTGGTTCGATTCCCCGCTAATAAAAAAAATACTTAAATGAAATGTTAACAGGGTTAGACTCATGCTTTTTGTGTAGGTATATGATTATTATTCTGATGTATTCAGTTATGTACCTAAACAGATGAGTTCAGTACTAAGTTATTTAAAAAAAATTTGGTATGAATCAGCTTACCGATCTAAATTTTATGAGATTCTCCAAGGCACATTAACATGTTGCCGTATTCACGAGCACTATAAACGTACCTACGCGTTAGGCAGTAATAAAACAAAACGTAACAACAAGAACGTAATAAACAAAAAGATTGAACTGTCGCTCATGCGCACGTGATAGTCAACACTGAACTGTCTCAAAAACTAAAATGCGCCGAGGCATTCGTCCTTGAAGCACTGAGGGCTACCACAGACCGTAAAACCCTTCCATTGCTAACGTTTATTTTATTTATAACTTTAGTTTTCCCTACGACTAGTCTTCATATGGAATTTAGAAGTTATGGTTGTCATTTTTAATACAATTACACAATCAATTGTACCCTGACGCAACAAGCAGTTCTTTACTACAAAAATTATAATGAAATTAATAAACGTACCTAATTGGATACTCAGTACTTACTTACAGTATATTATAAGAAAATATAAATAATAAGTATAAGAAAATATAAATGAAATGGTACTGAATAATTTAATAGTTAAAATCAATTGCAATTATGATCGACAGTTAATTCAGTTAGTTTAATCTATCAGAATTGATGTAAAAAATAATGCTTTTTCTTTATTTTAATTGACTTTCCGTATTTAATCCGACCAATACTTTTAATTTAAAAAGAGGACGTCAAAATGATTAAAGATTACTTGCAAGTTTTATAGTGATTGCAGCCTCTAATTATTGTGTCGCCGGCAAACTAAAGAATAATTGCAGACTTTCATACATAAAATTAGTTAATGGTAGCGTCTATATATCAAAAATATCTTAAAATGTTAAGCGTCAGTCCCTTAAAAACTCTGTCAAAGAATTTTGTCCTGAGAAGGCGTCAAAAAAAAGATATTTTGATTTGAACTATTTTAGGGTATGTCTTATGTCACTTGGAAAAGTCATGCGCTCTATGGTTGTTTGCTTAATACATTCTCAACATAATGTACCTACCTACATAATTGAGAGTTTTTAGATTATTGTATCTCTATTTGTTCTCTATGCTCCAGGGCTTTTGCGTCATAGTGGCATTCTCAGAAGGGCTAGAACCCAGAGCCGTAAAGCCAGTGATAAAAGTGACATTTTGTTTTAGCTAGTGTTGCCATAACATTAAATTGTTACATAGTACTATGATTGAGATAATGTATTATTGTAGGATGTTCTTTGTAAGACTTATTTTCAACCATATCACTTTTATTTTTATTATTACTCATAGTATAGTTATTTCTAATAATAACTTGATACAAAAATATTTTGTTTGTGTGTTGTGTCCTAGTCCTACAAAGTGTATACGAAAATAGTAGTTTTTTTACGTGGTAGAGCTATGCTGCAGATATATTAGTAGTATAGTTGTAGCACGAATGGGTCGGCTCGACCGGGGAAAGACCACGCTCTCACAGAATACCAGCTTAAAATAGCAGCTTTACGCTGCTGTATTTCGTATGATGAGTGTAGAGAACCGGAGACCTATTTTACTGAAAAAGAGGCATTCCATCTTAGTCCTCACGGGTGACGACGCATCTGCATTTTGATTATTTATTGAGGATAAATGTAGATGTCTATGGGTCACGGCAACCACTTACCATCAGGAGGAATGTGTGCTCGTTTGTCACCCTATCCTATAAAAAAAAGTATGAATATAGTAAATGGCAACACTTGAATAGAGTAAAATGAATTAAGTCATTTGTTATTCCCGAAAATGTTTGTTTTTTTTTTTCTCTTTAATTAAAATACATTTTTATTTGAAAAATCATAGAAAAATAATAAAACTCATTTTATATATAACTTATTTCTAGATGCAATAATTTTTGTCAACTATTTTTCTGCAATTATTCTGTCGGTGCAACATGGCAACGTTGCCAACACTAATTTGTCAAATTCCCCGAAAATTCATGTCAAATTCCCCAATTAAAGGACAAATCTTTAAGAGATTCCTCACAAATTCCCCTCAATTTTATTTTAAGAAATGAATCAATTTTCAACTCATTTTATAAGATTTACTTTTTAATTAACATTTTTTTCTTTAAAATTAAAAAATAAAGAAATGAAAAGCATTAAATGATACACAAAAGTTGCCGAAATAAATCCGAAAATTAAATGTGGTGAAATGAAGATAATTAAAAAAAGGGAATCATTCGAAATTCATAAGTAACCTAACAAAATGTTAAGATAAGTATTTAATTTCTTGAAAAAAAAGGTTCCGACTTGGCCTGGCTATCGATTTACAAAATCCCCGTAATTTTCCCCGTAAAATAAAATAAAGAAAATCCCCAACCAACTTTAAATTCCCCACAATTTTGGGAATTCCAAAATAAATATTTTATGTATTACAGAACATTGGTTGAAAGAATACAACTCCATATTTAATTTCAGTAATCACCAGGTGGTCAGTTCGTTCAATAGAGATACTAAATTACGTGGTGGCTCCTTAATATTAGCTAATAAG